TCAACGATGGATCCAGGAGCGATCTACGTCATCAAAGTGAACGTAACTGTTGGGACGGCCTCGGTGAGCTTTGCGCAGGAACTGCACGTCATTGGCGGCGGCCCACTGCCAGTTTTTGAAATTAGGTACGCCAAAAACTATCTTATGCCAGACGACCTTGACATATATGTATAACAGGAGCTTTCAGACTAATTTGCATCATCTTGTCTTGACTTGTCTGACTTTGTTCCTTTTTCGACTTCCAAAAAATTTGTCTTCACTTCATTTGCATATCAATCAACAGGTTGTGCATATAAACCTGCTTTCCCCCTCTGGTCTCTCAGTCACTGACGAAAGCTAGTGGATACTAGCTGAAACGTCTGACGTTTTCAAAATCATATCCAGTTGCTTGAGTAACTGTTTTTGGCGTATCGTATTACCTGGATGTCTAACCTTCATCGACGGACCTTGACATATATTGCAATGTATATAGTACGCTTACCTATTTTCTGTTCATTAAGTACACCAGAATACGTAACTCAATTGCATTTACTTTTAAGAGGATCTACTTTTATGTCCACGGCAAAAATAGCCTGGTGTCCAGCCTTGTTAGCTTTGGTCCGCTCCCCAAGATCCGCTCCCCGCCTACAATGTTGGCGGGGAGCGGATCTTGGGGAACGGACTAAAGCTAACAAGGCTGGACACCAGGCTACGGCAAAAACTCAATAAATGTTTACTTAATATGCAAACCTTTTGGACTGATTCTAAACTATTTTTGGAACATTTGTATTCATAACAGTCCTATCAGTCTTAATTAAAATAGAAACAGTCAATAATGTCTTTATTATATACATGTATAATCATTATATAATTGCAAATCTGTGCTTTGCTTGTTTTCAAGTTTAATGTATTTTCCTCTACGTTGGTGGCGACATAAGAATAAGTTCTAAACTTGAGTGTGCCGTCACCATGTCTATGTGTCGTCACCATGTTTTTAAATGTTGCAATAAAAACAATTTGCAACTATTGTCATCCAAAAAAACAAAATGATAAGAATGTTATTCTTTCACTTTCCCACCTACTCACCCACCCTCCCATCCATTCAATTATCAATGCACTTTCTTGATAGCCTGGTTACCAAACCCATTATATCTCCCGATTCCTACATCCTCATTGCGGAGATGATGTAGGAATCGGGAGCTATAATAGGTTTGGTAACCAGGGCTATTACCTTCTTGACTATTACCAACTAATCTATATGGCAATGGTAGGTGCAGGGAAAATTGTCTGGACGTTCTGAAAGTGACGAAAGATCTAAAGTTGGAGGCAAGCTGCACAACTGGCTGTACTAGCAGCAGTGGCAGCGGGAATTCTGGGTGGTGGAACGGTCGCCGCCGGCGCTCCTGGGTAACTTGGAACTACCGTTGGCAACTGTATGAGGAGAACATTGTAACTGGAGAGGTTACAGAGATTCCTGACTTTGCTGGTATGACATGGGGAGGTAGGCCGGGCTCACATTCACTGTTCAAGTTGATTGATTTGATTTGATTTGATTTATTGGGACTATGACAACCGTGAATACTTTTATCAAGTTGTAGTAAAAGGTTAATTAATGAGATTTATTCCAACACACAATTGTACAGGGATAAAATTTTCAGCAACCACTGTCGCCTTCATCAGGATAATAATGATCAATCACTTCACAACGTGATCTCGCGAGAATTACGGTTTACAAACACGTCACCTTATTCACACTTATTACACGTATCAGTAAAATCTCGTGTGAATAAGGTCACGTGTTTGTAAACCGTAACTCTCGCGAGATCACGTTGTGAAGTGGTTGATCATTAATTATCCTGATGAAGGCGACAGTGGTCGCTAAAAATTTGATCCCTGTACAATTGTGTTTTGGAATAAAGCTCATCCTTTTACTATGATTACTACCAACACAGATGAACTTTCATGATGATTTTATCAAGTTGGTATGTTACTGAGTAAAGAGACTGTTTTTACGCAAAATATTTTACTAACAGCCGACGTTTCGGTGACCGTCAGCCACCTTCCTCAGGGCAATTCTGACTGGTTGCAGTGCAGTGCAGCACAGGTGTCGCTGCTATAGATGCATTCCCAAACGTACAATATTTACATATCTACACATATACGCGGTTACACGGAACTGTATCTACAATGCGTTACCAAACGTACAGGGGGCGTGTTTGATAACTGGCCACAATTATGTATATATCCAACTAGATATGTAAATATTGTGCGTTTGGGAATGCATCTATAGTAGCGACACCTTTGCTGCAATGATGACGGTCACCGAAACGTCGGCTGAAAAAAACACTTGATTGTGTAAAAAGAGTCTCTTCACTCTTGGACTATGACAATATAGTACACGTAGGACACAGGCAGCTGATGTCATGACCCACACATAGTACATTACAGAACACGTAACAAGGCATATATCTTATAGACCGAGACCCTACAAATAATAAACGAAGCGGACTGCCCCTGAAGGGAGGGACGGTAGAGACTGAACTGAATAGAGTTACTCGGTTTGTTTTCCCCCTTCCTTCTTTATATATTTAAAATGGATTATGTGTCGGTTTTCTCTTTTTCAGGGGGGTGGGGGATAGATCAGGTAGTGCCTATTTATTTCCTTGGAGTGTAAGAAATATTTAATCTATCTACTTGTGAAATATTATGATTCTTTTTTTTTTTTGGAAGCTCACCTGATATTGATATTGAATCCTATATTGACATTAGCACTATCGTGTAATTTTTTTCTTATGAAATATAATTACATCTGATTGTGAGCGTGGGCTTTTATGCCCTCTAGTCGCTAGTGTTTCGTTTACAAACAAAAGTAAACCATTGTAAAGTTGTGTTGCGTTAAGAAGACACGCACTGTTTGTTTTGATGCATGTTTCACTTTATTTATGCATGGCATGTTACTTTATGTCTCTGTTTGTTTCATGTAGTGGATATATTGATTATTGTAGTACATATTATGATAAACCCTGTTGCCTGATAGATATAAGACAAGTTTCTCACACTGGTTCGTTTACTTCAATTTTCGCTTTCTGCGGACGCCCAGCCCTTATTTATATTTATAGAGTATTAAATATTTTCATCTCTACTTATGACTTCGCCCAAAGTCAATATTTGTAGCTATAATTGCAATGGGCTGGGCGACCGCAGAAAACGACATGAAGTATTCACATGGTTAAAAGACAAAAATTACCAAATTTACTGTCTACAAGAAACACATTCTTCCATGAAAGTTGAAACAGAATGGATATCAGATTGGGGGGCACCAATTCTTTTTAGTCACGGTTTAAGTAATAGTAGGGGGGTAATGATTTTATTTAAGATAAACGTCTCCTACACAGTTCACAATTCACTAACTGACAATTCAGGCAGGTGGATTATGTTGGATATAACTATAGATTCTAGTCGTTTTTGTTTGGTAAATATATATGGCCCCAATTCAGATGACCCCTCTCTTTTCACTAATTTGGAAACAACTATACAAAATTGTTTAGATTCTGAATCATACATTGTAGTTGTAGGTGATTTCAACACTGTTCTTAATACTGATATAGATAGAACCGGGCATCGAATTTCAAATTACCATCCAAAATGTTTTCAAGCAATCAATTCACTATGTGCCAATTTAGATTTGATAGATATTTACAGACACCAAAATCCTAAAACAAAGCGATATACTTGGAGACGTAGATTTCAAGCAAGTCGCATTGATTATTTTTTAACGTCCTTTTCCTTAGTTTCTCGCATACAAAAAGTGGAAATAGAAGATAATTTTAGGTCTGACCATTCCCTTATTGGACTTTCTGTTGTTACTTCACCAATACCCAAGGGCCCAGGTTTTTGGAGATTCAACCAAGATTTACTAAGAGACCCGGTTTTTATTAAAGAAACTTCAGATTTCATAAATAACTTTTTCCTCATCAATAAGGATTCTGCGAATGCACATACCGTATGGGATACATTTAAGTGTTGTGTACGTGGACATATTATAAAATATTCGTCATGGAAATACAAACAACTCAAATCGACCGAAATTTATCTAGCAAGTGAAATCTGCAGCCTGCAAGAAAGCTTAGACGCTGTTTTTGACCCAAATACCTTTGTTAAACTACAGGAAAAGAAGCAGGAATTAGAACTATTTTATCAAATCAAATCTAATAATATAATCACCAGTAAAAGAGCAAAGTGGATGGAGCAAGGGGAGAAGTGCACTCGTTTTTTTATGAATTTTGTCACTAGGGATAAGGCTAGGAAAAATATGGCCAAACTTGTCTCTGCAGACGGTCAGATCATAACCAGCCCTTTAGATATTCTCGAGGAACAGACCAACTTTTATCATAATCTATACTCTTTAAAGGAACAACCAATGTCAGTAGACGCAGATGTTTTTAAATCCTTTTTTCCAAATAAACGAGTATCTTTGTCGCCCGAAGAACAGAGAAAATGTGATGGTTTAATAACTGAAGAAGAATTGAAGAGGGCAATTAATTCCTTTCCCTGTGGTAAAGCCCCCGGTCTAGACGGCCTTCCGATAGAATTTTACAAGACTTTCTTTAATTGTTTAAAGCAACATATGCTTGATTGTTTTAACTTTTCGTTTGATGTACACCAGCTATCTGATACACAAAAAGTAGGTCTTATTACATTAATACTTAAGCAAGACCCCACGGGACAGGAAAAAGACCCTTCGTATCTCAAAAATTGGCGTCCCATTACTTTACTTAACTGTGATACGCGTATTTTGTCCAAATGTCTCGCTCTTCGCATGAAAAATATTATTTCAAAGCTAATATCATATGATCAAACAGGTTTCCTGCAGGGGCGTAGTATTTGTGACAACATACGCAGATTATTAGAGATAATAGAATATTATGACAAAAATGATTTGCCCGGTTTAATTTTCATTGCTGACTTTGAGAAGGCCTTTGACACCGTTAAACTGGACTTTATCTTTAAAACACTGAGGTATTTCGGCTTTGGGGACTCTTTTATTAGCTGGGTACAAATTCTTTACAAAGATATCTCTAGTAAAATTATCAACTGTGGTTATATTTCTAAGTCCTTTTCCCTGTCCCGTGGGGTCCGACAAGGATGTCCCCTCTCTCCATATCTTTTTATTTTGGGGGTAGAAATACTCGCTATTAAAATTCGTAGCAATATCGAAATAAAAGGTTTAGATACTTTTGGAATTGAATCTAAAATTTCGCAATATGCCGACGACTCGAATTTTCCACTTGCTCCCGAACTCGGCTCTTTATACGCTTTAGTTACGGATCTAGAAAATTTTTCCTTATTATCAGGACTATGCCCACATTTTGATAAATGTAAAATATTAAGAATTGGTACTCTAAAAAGAACAAACTTTTACTTACCTTGCCCCTTACAAATACAATGGACGGATGGCCCTGTTAATATTCTAGGAATTCACATCCCAGAACTGTTATCTAATATAGTGGATTATAACTTTGACAAGAAATTGGCTAGAATAGACAAGATATTAATGCCGTGGAAATCTAAGTCATTAACTCTTATGGGTAAAATCGTTTTAATCAATACATTAATTGTCCCTCAATTTATCTATTTACTAACTTCTCTCCCGTCTCCCCCCTCTACGTTTTTTGACTTATATGAAAAAAAGATATTTAAATTTCTATGGGGGGAGGGACCGGAGCGGGTGAAAAGGAAAACATTGTATGCTACTTATGAACAGGGGGGGCTAAAACTTAGGAATTTGCAGGCTGTGGATTTGACACTTAAAGGTTCTTGGCTGCCAAAATTGTATCTAAATAAAAAATGGTTTTGCTCTAAATTAATATTTTTATCTAGTTCTATTTTTCGTACGAATGTATTTCCTTTTTCCCAACTAAAGTATGTGGATTTTAACTCTTTAATGGGGAAAAAGTCACCTCTTAGTTCCTTTTTCATGCATGTAATACAGGCGTGGTTAAAGTTCCAGCTCCGGCCGCCAGAGGGAGCAGTAGAAATAAAACAACAACTTCTGTGTTTAAATTCAAATATTACAATCGATGGAAAACCATTCTTTTCTCAGGTAATGTTTAGTAGAGGAGTAGTGTTTGTAAATGACATTCTAGACTTACAAAATAGGTTTTTATCATTTGATGATCTGACTCAAAAATTTGGGGAAGCCTGTACCGAATTTAAGTACAATCAACTTATTTCTGCAATTCCTTCTTGTTGGAAAACCACGTTAAAACAGACATCTCCAAACCTGGGTGTTTGTCTTCCAGTCTGCAGAAACATAAGCTGGCTACGTAAGGGAAATATTAATAAAGATCTGTATTCATTTTTTATGAACGAAGCCAGTTTATGGGACTCGTCTGATAAAATTAAATTTTCGTGGGAGGAATATTTCGATACTCCTTTACCTTGGCACAAAGTGTATAGTTTGCCGTATAAACTTTCTATTGACTCAAACATTCGTATGTTTCAATACAAACTGCTGTTTAAATTTTTAACTTGTAATAAAACATTATTTTTATGGGGGTTAATAGACTCACCAATTTGCAGTCTATGTAAAGAAGAAGAAGAATCAGTCGTCCACCTATTTTGGAATTGTCGAATATCTGCAGTATTTTTGGAGTCAGGTGACAATGGTTCTTCAACATCACTGGTACTCTATTTACAAATCAACGCAATCTAATATAATTTTTTGGTAACCTGACTGATCGATGCCCGGTTCTCTCCAATGTTATAGTACTCCTAGGTAAAATGTTTATTTTTAAAAATCGTAAGTATTCCTTAAGTTTATCTGCATTTATATCTTATGTTTCTTACTTTTATAGACTAGAATTAAACATTGCGTATAGGCAACACAAACTATTAAAACATAGGGGGAAATGGGGAAAATTAAATACAATTTTTTCAAAATAGATAAAATGTTGTTAAATAAATATTTAAAAGAGTTTTAAAAAAAATCCCATGTGTAATTTTAAACCATGTAATTAGGGGCAACAGGGTGTATCTGTAAAATTTGCACTACACTATTGTACCTGGATTTTACGTTTTGTTTTTGTGGTTCACCATGTATTCCTTTTTGCACAATGCCATGCCATATTCTGTAACCGTTAATTTATTTTGGAAAATTCAATAAAGAAAGATTAAAAAAAAAATAATAATAAACGAAGCAACTAGAAAGGCCAATATTTGCTTTGGAGCAAATACAGCGATGGGTTCACCACATTTTACCACATGGCAGGGAAAGAATGAGAAACACAAGGGAAAACAATGATTTACATTGATATAACTATAATATGAAGTAAAATACAACTAAAACAACAGTTGGATAGCTATTCCCTACTTTATTGGTTAGGATTTTTAATTGCATAATGCAAACTGTTGATTTTACAAAATAAAAAAAAACGTACCAATAGCCCGGACATTCCAATGCTGGAGCAGGAAAGCTTGAAATACCTACCAAAACACTTGAATACAGACATACTGTCAGTATGGAAATGCTTCTGTGCAGGTGTTAATCAAGTTAAATCCCAACAGCCAATCAGCAAGAAGTATAGAGGAAAGCTGCATGCCTATTGGTTGATGCCCTGCATTCCATTGTGATGACTCATGCCCAAACGTGGTAAACAAGGCAAACTAACACAGTAATACAAATAATTTAAAAATCGCCTAGGGGTATTTGCCCACTGTACCTCCATACCAAATTTCAGGACCTTAGGCCCTAAAATGAAGAAGCTGAATCCATTTAAAAAATGGCAGGAGAAGGAGAAGAAGGAGAAGAAGGAGAAGAAACATCAGAAAAAGCAATATGGTTTCACCACACCACTTCGTGGTGTGGTGAACCCATAATAAATACAATCTAAAAAGGATCATAATCAAAATAAAATACCCTGACTGTGAATACATTTCAATAGTCTGGGAAAGTTACTTGGCGTAGTTTCTAGCCACATTCAAAAACACTTTTTCTACTCTTAAAGGCCCATTATGTAACTTTTGGACAGTACAAAAAGTATACTTTCCAGTCTTGTCTTTACATAGTAAGTTGACTTAACCTTTTAGTATTCCAGAGCAATATTCAGCAATAGAAAATGCAACATCCCTGTTCCATACAAGCATGATAGAAAACTGAATGATCTTCTATTCAAAACCTCGGCCACACCGCACATATGGTTGTCCACTGCCAGTGGTGTGGCCTACCTTCCAGTGGGGTGTCAGTTGACAGTTTACAATTTCCTGAAAGACCTAATCGTTTACCAGATTTACTCTCTTTTGAAGGGATAATGGCCACAGTTTATTGATGCCCAACAAAATACATTAAGTTTATAATTATATTCCACGTCATGTGAAAGATATGAATATTTCCAAAGAAGCTTGTGACATGTGCCCCTGTCCGCCATTGCCACTGCATATTTACGGTTAGCTGCACTTCACTGGTACACTTTTGAGTCACTGGTGGTTGTTTAACATAGGATGTTTATTGTCTCTGTCATGCAGGTATCAACAGAAACCAATTAATACTAAAAAAGTACAAACTGGAGCCAGATAAAAAGTACAGACTTCGTGTGAAGGGTTCAAAGTCGGATGGCTCAAGTTGGAGTTTCCGGGAATACCATGTCTTCTCCGGTCCGCCGAGTAGTGTGAACTGTTCCGTTACGCCAAAAACAGGTAGGGACAATACTATTGACCTTGTCATTTGCATACATAATAATAAAGTACCTGTGTCGGAGAGAATTTGTAAATACTGCTCCTCAAATGCAGTGGAAGACGAAATTCATTTCATCTCTAACTGTTCACTTTATGACGACATCAGAAAACAATTATTTAGCACCGTGTCCAAAATGCTCCCTTACTTCCCTGCCATTCCCTACCACAAAAAACAATTTTACGACTAATATCAACCCACATATTGTAGAAGAAGTGGGTAAATTCGTCTTCCATTGCCTAAAAAGAAGAAGTAAAACCCAGCAAAACTAGTACCATGTATGTTGTAGAATATAGTATAATGTTAGAAGTAGATATAGTCTCACGTACGTATTTTCTTTCTTATGTTGTTTGTAACAGTTACTGCATAGCCCTCGGGCAAGAATTTGCAATAAACTTTCTTTATGATAAAATGTTAAAATGAAATCTTGCCAAAGAAGGGGACTTTTCATGGAAGTATTAGTTCTCCGAATTCTTCTTTTTTTTTTTAGGTTTTGCAGCTGATACAGGATTCACTATCGCAGCCGAAGTGCCACCGGAGGTGTCGTCGGAAGAGGACATAGACTACAGTTTCTTCAGTTCGAACACTTTGCTCACAACACAACGGGAGTCTGTAGCAGGTCCCTATCGTTTGGAGAGTGGTGTCATTGACAGTCATTTTGCAGTGACCATCAAAGTCCAGGCAGATGGTGACGAAGGCTTCTTCTCGGAATGTAGCGTGAATGTTTCGGTGAGTGATCCGTTTATGTTGATTTGTTGAATGGATGGGAAGGCAAGACATATTACATACGAAAGGGTTTGCAATTTTGTAAACATTCATAGATAAAGAGACACAACACCAAGCCCAAATATTAAAGTGTCAGAAAACAGGCAAGATATATATAACAAGAGTTCCACAATCTCATACCTTCGCCAAATGATGTTAACCCTTCAGGTTGAAGAATTATACAATTTTAATCATTGATTTCGCAAATAAGAGCCTCATTTGCATTGATTATATCAGTTGATCATATTCTCCATCCAATGACAGCCTTATCTGAACAAACAGGCTATTATGGCACTTCCTCATGAATTATGCAAATGAGGTTATGATGATAAATAATGTTTGTTGCTGTTCACCGTCACTTGACTTCCAAATGCAGAAAGTTTGAAATTCACAGTGTTATTATGCAAATTAGGTCTTCATTTACATAATATATATCCTCAGATAATTTTCTCGTTCCCAATCATATGTAACAAGTGTTTTGTAGTCCTATTATCTAACGAAGCAGATTTATAGAATTTCCTCATTAATCATGCAAATTAGCTCAAAGATTGAAGCATGAGTCAAGTAGACTTTGAATCTTCGTGACAGCTTTAATTGCAAAATGAAACATAATCAATAAGAGTTGAACTAATTATTCAAATAGCTAGAGTTCCACGATCTCATACCTTCGCCAAATGATGTTAATCTTTATGACTAACAAAGTGAAGATTATTCCTCCTGATTATGCAAATGACATCCTTATTTGCATGAATTATATCAGTTGATCATATTCTCCATCAAAAGACAGCCTTATTTTAACAAAGAAAGCCATTGTATTATTTCCTCATAAAACATGCAAATGAGGTGCTTATTTGAATAAGTTATGTTTATAATGATGTTTACCTTCACTTAACTTTCAAATACCCCAAGTATGAAATTCCAGGCAGTTACCATTGTGGAATTATAACATTTTCTCATTAATTATGCAAATTAGGTGTTAATTTACATAATCACTATGTGCCTGTGTTTCTCTCGTTCTCAATTACATATGTCACAAGCTTGAATAGTCCTATAACATCACTTGAGCTACCTACATACCCGGTGAAAAGGGGGCTCAAACCTACGTCACTTTTTTCCCAGCATAGGAACTACCTACCACTCAAATTTCGTGCCCCTAACATGTCTAGATCATGATATATCAAAACAGGAAGTTCTGCTGCACTACCATAACAAGCCGCCAGGGGGGCCAAAATCTAATCATTTCGAGGACCTACCCATCTACCAAATATGAAGACTTTCCATTTAAGCCTTCTCGAGATATCGTATTTACAGACACACAGACGAACGCCAAAGAAACCATAACCTTCTTGGCAAAGGTAACAATATCGACAGTCCGCATTTAGAAAAATGAACCGCCAAAGTTTGAGTAAATCTCTGCCCAACAGGATCCAAGTCCGATATTATGTTTTTCTAGCGTTGAACGGTCCTATATCCTGGTAATTATGTTGAAAACTCACGTCGACAGAAATACTAGCATGTATCGATGTATTGAAACGACTGGATAGCACGTTAGACTAACACACGCCCCCCTCCCCACTGCATGACGGAAGGGTCATGTCGTGACGTTCTAATCAACTAATTTATGAAGAAACATGCCAAATGTTCTACAAATTTCTGCCCACAAAGATCCCAGCCCAATGTATATAACTATTATATATAATTTTTTTTACATTTTTGTGGGTATTCGCGATCGTCTGGATAAACCCGATATAATTACGACCTTTGGTACATACGTATATAAATCAAACATGGAGGTAGAAAAACAAGTCCATGATCAAAGACAAAGCGAAGCACGTACGCTTCAAATTCAACCGTCCCGAGCTGTGAAAATTGTAGCCTCCTCAGGTGCAGGCCCCGGGCCGGTGGGAAGTTTGATACAGCGTTTTGTAGAGTTCAACGCGTTCTTTTAATAGCCGGCCATCGTACAAGTATACATATAGCCGCCGAGAGAAGGTTGCATTCCGCCCTTGACAGGTTTGATTGTACTTGGCACCACATACGCACAAGAAGTGCTAAGTCATGCAAACGACATATTTTACCCACAATGCATTCCGGTATCAGATATTTCAAAGTTATCGGAAATTTAGTTGGTAAGGAGAATTAAATATCCAACAGTACCTTATGATTATATAAAAGAAAATTTACCCGTTTATTTTGTACTGAACATACCAAAGGGTTTGCAATTTTGTAAACATTCATAGATAAAGAGACACAACACCAAGCCCACATATGAAAGTGTCAGAACACAGCCATGGTATATATAACAATCAGTATACCTTGTAATATCGCTTGAATGACCCTCGGTGGTCCCGGGGTGCAGGCTTCAAACCTGTAGCCGACTGGCGTCGGAGCGGTTCAATTCCGCCTTTCGAGCGAAGTCTTTTTCAACCATTAGAGTAGATTTTCTTAGTAGAATTTCCTCATAAATTATGCAAATTCTATCCAGATTTGCATAGTTGTCGCATAATCATGTCAAGCTTCACTAAGCTACCTACATACCAAAAAGTACGACACACAAGCCGCTAGGGAGCCCAAACCTATGTCACTTCTTTCCCAGCACAAGAGCTACCTACCACTTAAATTCTGTGCTCCTAAAGCATTTCTAGATCATGAGATATCAAAACCTGAAGTTCCGCTGCAGTACCATAATAAACTGCCAGGGGGTCCAAAATCTAATCATTTCGAGGTCTCATCAAGACCTACCCATAAAGACAATCCATTTAAGCCTTCTCGAGTTATCTTGTTTACAGATACACAGATACACAGACCGACGCCGATGAAAACATAGCCTTCTTGGCGAAGGTAACAAAATTGACGGTCCGCATTTAGCAAAATCATGGCAAAATTGACAGCCAAAGTTTGAGTATTATACATACATGGAGGTACATTTCTGCCAAACAGGATCCCAGCCCGATATTATGTTTTTCTAGTGTTGAACGGTTTCGGCAAAACAGAAAACAATCTGGATGAGGAAGTCTGATATTGACATTTGTTGCCATTTCTGAGCAGATTTTTTCAGCATTAAAACTTTTCATTTTCAATTTGTTCCCACAGGTGTTGCCTAATGTCAAGCCTCCACTAGATCTGTGGCAAGATACTCTAACGTTGGCTTATGAAGCGGAGGTGGAGATAGATCAGGGAGACGCGGCGACTGCTGCATCTTTAGCCGTGAACATCGTGGATCTTCTGGACCAGGTCCTGGCAGGGGTAAGTAGCGATTATCATGATTATGATTAATGTCATCTCCGTTTAGTTGAATCTTCAATAACTGTGTCCTATGTTTATTGTACTGCATCTACCAAATTTAAGCCTATTGAACGGTGTGCATGCTTCATTACATGTATGGCAGAAATTACCAAGTGGGCAGAGTGCATGTGTATCTTCCATTCGGGCTCTTTTCCCGGCCATACCAAAGACTTGGTACATACTGCTTTCTCTGCTTAGCACTCAGCCATTGTAAAAAGACATACCACTACCAATGGGCTAGCCCTGTCATGGCACAACTGTGTGGCCCACGCCCTATTGACCACCTTGTGCGGAAGGGCTCTAACAACAATGTAAGAACTACCTTCTCTTCTTCTTCTTCCGTCTGATGCCAACAATCTTAGAGACGATTACTCTGGAATGTGAGGTCAGAGTCCTATAACCATAATCCGGTAATCATAGTCCGTTTGTCCTTGCCGAGTCAGTTCCATACGGTCCTTGCCCAAGTACTGTTAGTGTTTACTGTATTGAGACACCAGACACAAGGTTGACTATTGTGTCTGCTTCGGCTATGTTCCAGTCCTTGATTCTTCTTGGCAGGAAGGAAGAACCTCTGTACAGTGGTCTGTTCTTGACCTGGGAGAACTGGTAGTCGTGTGTGCGCCGTTTTATTGGCGGGGCGGGACTAGTTTGCTTTTTATGATAGGACACTGTACTAGTCCTTGACTGATCTTGGACAGCATTCCCAGTCATGCCAATCTTCTGCGTTCTGCCAAGGATTGCCAACCAAGCTCTGCTATCATGTTGCTCGTGCTGTATGTGTTATGACGGCGATTTAAGACAAATCTTGCAGCTCTTCTCTGGATACTTTCCAATTTGTCAATGTTCTTTAGAGTGTACGGATCCCAAATTGAGGCTGCATACTCGAGTATGGGTCGCACGAAGGCTTTGTAAGCCTTATCCTTGATGGTGCTTGAACTGATCTTGAGATTCCGAATGAGGAAACCCAGTGTTTGTTTTGCCTTATTTGAAACGTTGCTGATGTGCATGTCCCAGCACACATCGCTGCACATTGTGATGCCGAGATACTTAGCTACTGTATCCAAAGTGTGGCCGTGCAGTACAGACGATGTTTCTAACGATTTCCTGCTCCTAGTGACTGTCATGGATATGCACTTAGCGGGGTAGAACTGCATGTCCCATCCCATTTCCCAGTTTGCCAATCTTTCGAGGTCCCTCTGAAGCTGATCTCGTTGCTCTCTGTTGGTTATCACATCGTACACTGCTGTGTCGTCAGCAAACGGTCGAGCCAAGGCTGACAGTTTGTCTGGGAGGTCATTTATGTAGGCAAGGAATAAACACGGTCCGAGGACCCGATCCCTGTGGTAGTCCTGACCTGACACTCACAAATGAGGACTGGCGTCCGTCAGCAACGACAACTTGGCTCCGATCGTTCAGGAAGTTGGCAGTCCATGCTAGAGTTTGTCCATGGATGCCAATTCTACCACGACGGACGACCGTCTCTGTATAATAAAGATCCGTTAATATCTCCTGCAGGATCCAGACCCGTCCCAAACGTTGACAGACCAGGGTTACGGAGACTTACTGAACGAGGCGCTGAACAGTACTACTCACCACCCCAGTCCGACAGCGCCACCTGTACGGAACGGTTATATATTTGGTCACGACTGGTCCACTGCCACAACCATCGACGGAGTCAGCAACATGCTGCCCCCAAATACGCCTGGAACGGGGGAAAATAAGGTATCATCATATTTCATCCCATACTACATGTGTGGGTGTGAAACATGTTGTTTTCCAAGACGTTTGAAAAACGTGTGGATTCATATGAGACCTTGTTGAAGCGTGAGTCAAAAGTCCTATCCCAGAAGAAAAGAAAGCAAAACAGGACACATATAGTTTTGTGTCTGTGATGTAGCTTTGTGTGGCTACCGTGAAGAACTAAAAGTTGTTTCGTACTTGTTGGCGAATGTTGTGTGATGGGATGTTTTGTTAGTCATTACTTTGTGTCGTTGTTCTTAAGTTCTGCAATTTTCGAAATGGAGTCCAGAAACTAGAGAAGTAACATTTGCAAAGCAAATACATAATGTTTACCTTCGGACATGGCATGGTCTGTTAATTTTTACTCAAACACATTCACGTACATGTACTAAGAGTATATGGTGACAGGAGTAGAGCAGACCATGAAATTGCCACATTATGTAACCCAACACCAGTCACCATGTTGACAGACGTCAACAAATCATGTCATTGGCCAGGTCAGAGGTTAGTGTTTGGAACAGAAGAGGAGGAGGAAGAAACTGAGTAAAATCAATATGTTTTCCTTCGGTAAACATAATTACCGACAGAGGTTTTCCCCCACAGCTGCAGATGTTCGTGAGGTCCACCCTGATTGAGAAGCTGAGCGGCAGGGCAGCTGAGCTCCGTGATGTGTCCTCACTACAGCAGGGCACGGACGGGATGGTCAAACTGCTCAACACAGGGGGACAGGTTTACATCGAGTCACAGGTAGGGTTGGAAACGATACATAAATGATCTTGCATATACGTCACTTGCATATACGTCAGCCCCCACCCGCAATGAAGTACATAATAGGGACTTAAAAGAGGGGTTCCAGCTTAGCCTACCATCTATAAGATCTGAAAGGTACAGGAACAGTGCTATTCCATACCTGTCAAAACTCTTAAACAGTGCTTAGTCTACCGTGTAATCACCCAACTACCAATTGTATATATTCTTGTTATTTAGTTTGGTTAAGTTTGTAAATATTAATGATATTTTGTGTGTTCCCTAAAACTACGTAATTCAGCTTTTTGTACAATACTTTGTATTATTAGGCTGCAATGTTGTTTTAGTTTTATGTCAATTTGCAAATAAACCATTTATACTTGTAAGACCGAACCTAGAATATGCCGCGACAGTATGGGATCCGTATACAAAGAAAGACAAAGACAAATTGGAAAGGGTACAGAATCAAGGTGCAATATTCTGTATGAACAACTATGAAAGAGGTGCTAGTGTCACGGAAATGAAAAGAAACCTACAGTTGGTCTCATTGGAAGACTAGACTATGCATGATGTACAAAATGACTAATAAACTGGTGGACGTCCAAACTACTAAGTACCTAATACCAGCCCAGAAGAGAACAAGAAATAGCCATGCCTTCAAGTACCAGAGTTATCAACCAAGGATTGAGGTGTTCAAAAATTCATTCTTTCCTAGAACTATCGCTGAGTGGAACTCACTGTTACCAAGTACAGTAGGGGCATTGTCATTGGATAGTTTTAAACAAAGTCTAGAGTTAGAAGTTCAAGGGTTAGGTGTAACAAGTCGATCGGTGTAATATAGCCAGCTGCCGCCGCGCCGCGTACCTGCGAAGCAGGTGTGTTACGCCGAAAGGCGGTTATACCGGCTATACAGAATCTGCTACAGATTATCGTATGTTTTGGATTGTAGTTCTTCAATTATGCAAATAAGTTTATATTTTCCATGCACTCTATGGTGAATGTGCATTTGTTCTATTCATAAAATAGTAGGCTCTATAGCCTTATAGCCTCCCCATTGTTTTGTAGCCTGTTCCATTGGTATTACATAAATGATTCTTTATTGAATCGACATCGACAAAAGTACAGAGAATTAATGGTGTACTATAACAGATTCATGACTTTCCAACCACATTAATATTATTACAATTGTATATAATGAATTATATTTTATAGCAGTGTATTGTATTGCATTTTTATAACTATTGTGTGTTATTGCAGGAATTTGTATTTCATGTCAACAATTGTTCGACTTTGTAATTTGTATTGCACTGCACTGTATTTATATTGTTGTGTTAGGGAGAACAACTTGTAAAGGTGTCAACTTCACCTGTTTTGTCCTCCCTTCCACTTGTATGTTTGTACTTGTGGTGAATTCTAATAAACAAATAGAAAATGAGAATTAGGCAAATTAGAATGATTGTAAGACGGCAATTTATTTCCGCAGATTTTAGCAGCAGAGTCTCTCCATCTCTACTCTACTAATCTTCATCAGGCCATACTTGTAGAAGGAGGATATATTGATGTACCTCAGCTTCTTCAAATGTCTGAAGGTAAGTTTTTTTTTTTTATCTATGCATTGCCAGTCTCAGCTTAGCAGCTGTCACAAGGGCTCTGTCCAATACCACTGAGGTGGCGGTTAACACTGCTGTTAAATTTTTGTCTGTCCTTAATGTCCTGTGGGAGGGAGTTCCAGAGCTTTAATAATTTACTGTGGCCGGTATGAAGGTTCTTCTGTGGGATGTTGTAGATGACTTTACAGGTTCCAGAGCGATGCTGTGTTGCCATCTCGACAGGCGGGTTTCACGGCGGTGTACGTATGGGTTCGGGAGTAAGCTGTTGAGTGGTGCTGGGGCATCCTGGTTGTACATGCGGTGCAGGAGAGTGAGGGCTCCTACCTGGTTTCTGTCCAACTCGGCCTGTGGGAGATTTATTTATTTATCCGTGTGGCCCTCCTTTGTATGGCGTCAAGCAATTCCAGTGAATTCTACATATGGTCTTCTGAAATTCCACATCAACGACGTCTTGTGTGGCGCAACGGCAGAGTGCTCGGCTCAGAACGAAGATGTTCCGAGTTCTAGTCCTGCATGTCACGCCACTGATCTTGTGCCCTTCGGAAAGGCACTCAACGCGACTTTTCTCACCCTATAGGTGAAGATGAGAATTGTCTGTTGTCCTCTGCTGGCATAAAAATTGAAACTTGTGTCTGCCGTCACATGTATTGTTATTAAATTTTGGAATAGAAAAAATCAACGTCTTGTATACTAGTATATCTAATCTGACAACTGATTACAATCATTAAATACCTCTTCTAACGTCTTTCAATTTAGGTATAGTCAACGGAATTGGAGCAGTTCTTCATAATGTCATGGGCGAGAGAGGGATGTCCGGCACTTCTAGTGTCATCACCTGGCAGAGCATGGTAACGTTGATACTGCCTTGTATTACTCGATAGCTGTCACCGTTCCGACGGACTAACTTGTTAAAATGCTTGAAGTTGAAACAGTTGTGGTTTGAAATGTTCGTGGCGTAACGGCATAGTGCTCGACTCGGAACCAAGAGGTCCCGGGTTCGAGTGATGACATGCCACCGATCTTGTGCCCTTGGGAAAGTCACTTTACACGACTTTCCTCACTTCGCTCAGAAAATTTGATGAGTATTGTATTGTCCCCTGTGTTGGTGGTGGCATTAATATAAGTTGAAAAAAACTTGTGTCCCCACCACGTCTTTGTGATTACATGTTGGAATAAAAAATGGTTGTACTAGGGGTACAGGCGTTGCTTTGGACACTGTGTTGTGTTTTTATCTTACAAGGGTACTCGTCAATTTCCACCTCAAAGCGCTTTCTTCAAGTTGTTCATTCCATTGAGTTATCGGCACTACAGCCATGTGGTAGCAACGGTTGCCAAACTATCTTTCGGCTGTTAGCTTTGGTTAGTTTTAAAGTTGAATGAATAGACTGTTAACTGACAAACGCAAACCCCTACTCCTTTCTTCCAGTTACCAACAGTGTTAGAGCAATTCCAGGACGCTACCGACGTCCTGACCAGTTTAGTTCTGCGCAGCAGCCTGTCAGATTCACCGCCAGTGGTCTTCGACACGCCGGTCGGACGTGTCATGTACCAGAAGCACACAAAGGAGAACATTCAGCAGGGCGGATTTGCCACTGAGCGGGATGAGGGCTTCGTCACCTTACCCGACCCTTCTGCAGTATTTGGGACTGAAAATAATGAGAACATCATTGATTCAAAGGTAAGAGGGTTTTCGTTGATTCCACGTTTTGAACGATTAAATTACGTTGCCGTTTTAACGATATAGTAAATGAACAACGTTAGTACATCTAAGTGGTCTATATCATACCGATCGTTGATGCAAGTCCATAAGAAATTTGGACATGTAAAGTGAGCTTTCCACAACAACAAACCATTTACTGCAGTACCAAGGAAAGTCACCAGAAGGCCTAAAATCTCATTATTACCATACATGAAATTTCATAATGATCCACATATAGATTCCTGAGTTATGCTGCTTTAAACCACAAAGAGGCGCCATGTTTATATCCTGTGAACAAGAATTCATATGGTTTCAACGTGTCGACATCTAGCTTCAGTTTGTTGAATGAAAATCAGTAGCATGTGAAACCATCCACAACAACTAGTAGCATACAGCACTACTAAGGAAAGCTGCTTGTAGACCTAAAATCTAATTATTTCTTTGAAAGGAAAAGACCTTTCAAAGAAAGGGCATATCATATTTCATACCAATCCACTCGTAGCTTCCTCAGTTATCATTGCCTAACGACAAACAAGCACCGTTACAACAGCTACTAAAACATAACTTTATTGACGACTATTATTATACTTCCGAAAATAGTTTTAGCACTGATTGGTTAAGTATAGGATGCAGATTTCGTTTGCACAACCAAGATTGTTTACCTATAGTTTACTTACGTTTCGATGTTTAGTGTCTGATAGACATCGAAACATAAATAAGGTAAACAATTTTGGTTGTGCAAAAGAAATATCCTGTATCCGACGATTCTTGTAATTATGTGTCTTTTATTTCTGTCTTAGTTCGTAGCATTCCGCCAAAATCCAATGACGTGGGACCCAGAGACAGAACCCCGGTCCTCCGTCCTGTCACTGGACTTCTTTGATGAGGCTGGTTCTCGTCTTCCAGTACAGGACACGGTACAACCTTTGGAGGTAAGTTAGTCACTGAAAGTCCTCTCTAGCATATTGCTTTTGTTATACCTGCTTCTTGCACTACATCCAACAGATATAAGAACAGACCCATCCCATACTTTACTCCGCTTTTGAACACCGTCAGCTAATCCATTATTGTATGATAAATATTATTGTGATTATTGTCTGATTATTTTAATTATCATGTACTTGTATAGTTGTTTACATTAGTTGTATTGCCTATTTTTGTTCCTGCCTAATATGCATAATTCAGAGACTTGTACCATGTACAAGTGGCTACAATATATTTTAGTGTGTTGTTATGAATCGAAACAATAAACCAATCTTTCATCGAAATGTTAGATATATTTCATTTAGAAAAAAAATTGTTTTTTTTTCTTTTTGTCATCCTCAATTAATATGGTTCCATTTCAAGTAGCTGAAAGCGCGACTTGGCTATGACTCGCGTTTTTACCCTAATCTTCTCGATAATTGTGTTGGGTTCTTTGATCTTAAACTCAGCCTGTTACAGACAAATCTTTGATACCTTCACAAATATACACTTCAGGAGAGACAAACAAAACCGCGAAGAGAAGTATTCATGATAGATTGCCCAACCTATGATGAAAACCGACGAAAATTGTTACAACATATTACATGTAAGACCAATATAACACTACCCCATACAAAGACAGAGATATTCTATATGTTACTATCATGCCCTGTCAACATTTCCACTTATGTAGGCCAATTTGTACACAATTCAATGACAAAACGAGAAAACGTAATTAATTCCTGACACAATTTATTACTACATTGTATTAATAGAGATAGTATAATTAGTGTCTCTCTTTTGCTATACATTGTTTATGAAGCAGACCAGATTCCTATTACAGTTAGTAGAACTGTTAGATATTCTCAACACCACCATATGTGTATGTTAACACCACAAACTATGTATGTATATTTTGCAATACGTTGTACCCGCTACAACCCGCGCAATAAAGTTCTTCTATATGTGTCTACAGTTTCACATCCAAAACTACGACAAACCAGGATTTCCTAATGTTACCTTCATGAACGAGTCTACTGTTGCCGATAATGGCCTGACGTATCACAGGATGGACGTGGACAATGACACCACACCAACACCCGTACTGGTCATGCTCATCCCGCCTCCTCATGTCATTGGTACGTACCTTAATGGCACAAATTCTAATACCATGATAATTCTGTTTTTCAAAACTGCAAATAAGATGTAATAGTTTATATATAATTTAGTAATTTGTATATTAGCTATGATATGGATGTAATTTTTACTAGTTATATTTACTAGTTATTATTTGCCCTCGCCAGAAGGAAATAAGATGATGATGATGAAGATTTCAACCATCCTTATAAACGTAGAAAGTAGCTGCAAAATGAGCAAATATATGCTGCAAATTGAAAAAAAAAACTATGTTGTGGAATGCCAAAATTAATTCCAAAGGAAACGAAGGAGAGGTGAAGAAATGAACATGAGTCTATCATTCGCCATATCATATTGTGTGTGTATTTGTTAGTTTGTTCAACTTTCATGACTATGTAGATTTCATAATGAAGGCATGCACGCTCGCATCAGTTTCGGGGTTTCCATTGGACGTCCATTGGACGTCATCAGATGTAATCAAATCAATTATATTGCCTAAATCTGAATGAATAGATTAAAGAAAGACATTATTGCAAACTTGACGAAATCCTAAACACTTTAGGCCCACGTGGTTCCTATTGGACTAACTTTGTTCCAACTGTCTTTGATTTTGCAATGTTAACCATCAACAGCATACCAGGTCTACATGCAGTACAATGAGCCACCAACACCAGATCACTACAACTTCACCACCACCATACCACCTCTGGAGAGAGCATGTGACGTCAGCGGGCCTGAGCTGTCCGGTCGTGACGTCACCGATTTGTTTCCCTGGCTGTATCCGGAAGTCAACGGAACCTACTACATTGGTGTGAAGGAACTAGGTATGCTATGTGCCAACAGTAGTTTATTTAGAAACCTGTATTCTTTGTAGCAGTAAATCTTTATTTCTGCATGCTATAAAAGTCTCCCATTTAGGACATGTATAGGAGGACAGGATTTTTTCGTCATTTTGTACGTTTTCAATTTTAATCATTTATTTCAAAAGTAATTTCATTTCTCTACTCCTTTCAGGCCCTGGAGAATGCAGAAACGTTCCAGGTGCGTCGTTGGCTGACGTAAAATCCAAGATCAAAGTCGCACCCGACAACGAGACATACAGCTTGGCGATACTGACTCCACAGTGTGTTTGGTGGGATAAGAACGGGGGTGGTCAGTGGAAGCCATCAGGCTGTACGGTCAGTTACCGAGGTCATAGTCACCTCCATGAAAAATGGAGGTATTGTTTTTGCTATGTCTGTGTGTGTGCCTGTATGTGTGTCCATGTTTCCACATGGCCCTTACGTCAGGATGTAATGGATCTGGTTACTACACATGTAAAATGTATATAATAGGTTCAATCTGTCCCAGAGGAAGAAAGTCATTGATGACATCTTGTATTTGTAGCGCTCGCATTTTTCGTGCTGACAGCTTGTGCACCTTGACGTCTGGTGCACCATAAAGAAAGACTTTTAGGCACCATGGTGAATGTGAAGAGGCCACAGGCACCATCACAAAAAAAATCTAAATATTTCATTATGGTCTAAGGTGTCCGACTTCTTGTTTTGTGATGCATACTGTACTGTACTGTACTGACTCTGCTGTAGCAGTTTCAGATGAGCTGCAAATGTTTATTTCACCGAACGCTTTCCTGAAGACATGTCGACAGTCGTCCCCATTGGCATTACCATTTAATAATTTGATCTTTATACACCAGTTGTGTCAATAAATAGTTCAATATTAAATATCTGCCAGAGGTTCCCTTTACTATACCATACCATGGGGAAGTGGTAGTCAGAGCAATGTAGATATTGAAATGTCAACTAATCGTATATGTATATCATTCGAGGGTTACTGTCTTATGTGTAACAATGTTTTAGCCTATTTCATTGCTACTTTTAGGTGGGACCCAACACCACAGTAAGTCACACCCAGTGCCTGACCACGCACCTGACAGCGTTTGGTTCGGACTTCATCGTACCGCCCAACTCCATCGACTTCAGCACGGTGTTCGCAAAGTTCGCCAACCTGAGTGACAACGCAGCCGTGTTCTCCACTGTCATCGTCATGTTCGGCATTTACTTCGTCATCGTCTACTTTCTGTTCAAGGCAGATAAACTGGATAGACTCAAGGTGCGAGCATCGGTTTCACATTTACTTGACAGAAGTTACCTTTAGCCTTGGACAGAACAAGAATACAGTAGTTTTAGAAATGTTTTTAACGTTCGTGCCATATACCAGGACTAGTACCAAATTTCAACGTATCATAGTCTTGTATTTTATAATGATGTTGAAAAAAATATATGTTTTCCATGTAGTGGGGAGTTCTACCCATCGCTGACAACAAGGAATCAGACGAGAACTTCTACCTACTGACCGTCTACACAGGATTGAAGTCCGGTTCTGGAACGTCGTCCAAAGCCGGCATCATCCTCCATGGAGCTGATGGAGACACTGGACCGAGACCGCTGGCCGCATCCAAGAACCAGGTCGGCACGACACTAATTATTGATTAAACATATCATACATTAGTTTTGATGTGGAGAGAATTCGTCATTGATACGGTCTACAACCACCAGTTAATAAAGAAAATGTGTTGCAGTAACATCAATAGTTTCATTATTGGACTTTCTTCAAGCACGTCTACAAAATCACAACTCTGTAAGTGTTGAGCTAACAAAAACATGCCATACTTCATGGCTGTGGCACTGAGAACAGTTACAGATATGATCTAACCCACTCTCTTTTGAAACTTGGAGGTTTTCAAGCGCGGCAGCATCTCCAGCTTTCTGCTGTCCACAAGTGTGGATCTCGGTGACTTGACTCATCTTCACGTGTGGCACGATAACTCCGGGACAGGTGGTGACGCCAGCTGGTTCCTTGATAAGATAGTCGTTGGAGACCTTCGCAGTGATAAACGGTATTTCAAAGTCTAGAGGTATCATCTGTGCATCTACTGCCATGTTGGAGTACTTATCTAAGTTTCTAATATCTAATTTCAAGTTTCCGTATATCTAGATACGATTTCTAAACTGAGACTCTCAGAGAAGCACCATGAACTATACAGAGCTTAGATAAAGCAACATGTCTAGGAATACAAAACAAATACAATATGTAAGCACGATTTACTATTTGGTCCACAGGTCATTTGTCACTGAAAACACTTTGAAAAAGATAGAAGGTTTCAATCATTTTACGAATGGTTTTGATTCAGTGGCAACATCACATATAAAAGGAATGAAATACAGCACTGTATCAAAGTAATGTTTTAGTCCCTTCCTTTTACTTTGATTAAGGGGTTCATAGTAACTATAACTAATTATTTATTCCTATATCGACTGCTTCATCACGTAATATGACCTGCTAGTTTTACATTATTGTTTTAGGTACGTGTTCTTCTGCCAACGTTGGCTGGCAGTAGAGATGGAGGACGGGAAGGTGGACCGATTCCTGAGCGCAGCCGGACGTGATGAACTCACCAACTTCTCCTCAATTTTTCACGAAAGAACTCGTCATGATATGAGGTATTGTTTTTCTTTACCGACTTTTCTTCATGGTTCATGAACGAATCTGCATGCCACTGTGCATTATATGTATGTTGTCGGAAACGTAACACTAGCATTCATATTGATAACTTTTTACTATTGTCAAAATTGAAATAAAAAACAAAAATAGTTACTGTAATAGCTACATAATAGCCATTAAAGTCCCCCAAATGAGTCATTTGGAAGTGGTGTATGCCAAATATGTGACTGCTATTCTGTAGACACATGTTCAAGGTACCCTTATACCGAATTTCAGATCATTTGGTTGTAAAACCAGGGCTCAGGATCCAAAAATCCATTTTTTGGCGAAAAATGCCCCAAAAAACCTTCATAAAAATTTTTTCAAAGGCATGTATCAAACAAATGAAAAAAAGGCCTGGGGGTATTGGCCCACTCTACCTCCATGCCAAATTTCAAGTCATTTGGCTGAATGATGGCGGAGTTGAATCCCTCTGACTGTGTGGCAGGAGGAGAAGAAGGAGGAGGAGGAGGAGAAGAAGAAACATGAGAGAACACAATATATTTCATCCATACCATGGTATGGACTGAAATATAATTATATGGCGGGAAAATTCAAAGAATAAACATCAATTGTATTTATACTGTTTGTAGGGTACATTTAACTACTAGTATTCTAACAACTCATTCAAGTAACTGGATATGATTTTGGAAATGGTCAGACGTTTCAGATTTCAGACTTTCTACCTTTCGTCAGTGACACTGCTGGCCTGTTCAAAACAGGTTAAAAGCGGTTTATAAATCTGTTGATCTCAACAGTGTCACTGGCAAAAGGTAGTGGATGTTACCTGAAACGTCTGACCGTTTACAAAATGATATCCGGTTGTTTTCAATGAGTAACTTCTTGTTCGTGTATCTGCATTGACAGTCTAACCACTGTGCTTGTATTTCCAACAGCGATGGTCACCTGTGGTTCTCCGTGGCCTCCCGTCCCACCCGAAGTCACTTCACCCGTGTCCAGCGGGCCTCCTGCTGCCTGTCTCTGGTCTTCCTCACCATGATCACTAACGCCATGTTCTTTCGGACAGACGACAGCGTCAAACAGCAGGTACAGAACATGAAATATGTTGATCGAAAAAAGCTTTATGTGATTGTCAAGAAATTCCTTCCACTTTTGAACATATTTGTACATTTATCTTACAATTCTGACATTTATGGTTGACTCACTGAAACGCAAATAGCTGGGTCGCCTACTATAAATGTTGGTGTTAGTGTAACATGAAAACTAATACTACTAATACTGTTTCCAGTCATTTCTGGCTACCCTGTACAACGTCCTAACAATTTCTAAGTTTTTTCTTCACAGGTATACCGTTTGGGCCCTTTTGTATTCACCCCTTCGAGGTTGTGGATCAGCCTTGTCAGCACACTTATCGTGTTTCCAGTCAACTTTATTATCGTGTTCGTGTTTTCAAAGTCACGACCTAACCCGGGGAAGACCAGGCAGTCATCAACTGGGTCGTTTTATAAGATCCCATCCAGTGCTTCGAAGGTGAGTTAACGTTATCGCGGATGTAATTTTACGTAGTATGTATTTAGCTGAGATATTTGTTTATTTGTTTATTAGAATTCATCACAAGTACAAACATACAAGTGGAAGGTACCTTTACAAGTTGTCCTCCCAAACACAACAATATAAGTACAAAACAATACATATTTCAATATCGAACAATTGTTGACATGAAATACAAATTCCTACAATAACATACAATATTCATAAAAATACAATGCACTGCCAAAAAATATTATTCATTATATACAATTGTAATAATATTATGATATACATGTAAAGCAATGCCAGCGCTATCGTTTGTTTCGATGGGTGCCTTATGACGATAATATAGACGATAATATAGGAACAAGTAAAACTAAAGAACATTGACATGAAAACTGAACGTTTCAACAGATCTGATAATCCATATAATGACAATATTTTTTTTCTTTTTATTTACTTAATACTAGTAGTTCACCACAAAACAATGCTCATGGGATGTTTTGGGTTACTGTACAGTCAGTGAGGACAGATGTTTGTTGACCTTAGACTTAAAAAGTTTAAGGTTGAACCCATGTGGGAAACAAGCACGTGGTAACTTGTTCCATAGTGATGTTGAACATTATATTGATTTTGATTTGATTTAACAAATCACACTCTTTAATCGGCGTTTTGTTCGTTGTAACTCTTGTTATATGTATAGCGGTAAGATTCAAACTGAAAACAATTGTACTATTATGACAAGCTTTTTCTTAAAATACACCGATTTATCCATTTAGCTGCCACGGTATTTTCCGTGCTATGGGAAACGAACTATAAATCAATAAATGCATCAATGTAATGATAAAATATTTGCTAAATACATGTACTTTTCTTCATCACTGTTTATTAAGATGCACCGCGATCCCCTGAAACGGCAACCTAATAAAAGAAAACAGTCGGGCCTGCCTCACTGGTGTGTGTACATCGGCTGGGTTCTGGTCTTCCTGTCTGCAACAGGCTCGGCCTTCTTCGTCATCCTCTACAGCATGGAGTGGGGAGCGGAGAAGTCGGGGGAGTGGCTGACGTCAATTCTACTCTCCATCTTCCAATCTGTCCTTCTTGTACAACCTCTCAAGGTATTACTTTAAACATACTTGATATGTGATGTATAATGTCTTACTCTTTAGCTACAATGTCTTAGTTTATAATGTCTTACTCATCATTATCTACCACACACTTACCTCCTTTCAACAAGTTTATTTATTTATTTAATTCGATTGCGACGATACAATACCCTGGCCACCCAGGCAGCATAGCTGATTTCGGGCGCCAAACAATACAAAGATTAAACATACACAATAACATACTAATACAGTAAACTAACAAGTAAAGATTAAGCTAAAATCAATCAGTTATCAATATAAAATACAACCAAGCATAATAAAGTACTCAATCAAGATAATAATAGCAATTAATGTTTTGGAGGTCAGAGGTCAAGGGCAATTGGATATAATACAGTATGTGAGGAAATATATACATGTATAACCTAGTTGAAAGTCAATGTTCATGTATTGATTTATTTTTATGGTCTACAGGTTCTCCTCTTGGGTCTGTTGATTGCCTTCATCTTCAAAAAGATCGGCAAGTCAGAGATAGTGGACGCTGGTGTCTTGAATGACGACGAGGAGTTTCTACCACGACCGATGGATGCCAGTAAGTCTTTCTTGTAGACTACATGTATATGGCAGGTTTGCAACGAGAACAGTTATTTTTTTGCAAATGTAAGCATCTAGAATGAAAAATTATCGGTAAGGTGGTCGTACATTTTCTTCAATCTACCATAATTTTCATGATTGGTATAGCTATAGCCATTTCATGATTATGTCAACAGTAAGCCGATGCACTGTTGCACGGATCCTCGACGAAGACATTCCAGTTTCGCATGTTTATTGGGAAAGGAGCTCGCAGGCCTAATTAGACCGAATGGCATCCTACGTTCAAACTTCATTATAATAAAGAGGCACTATAAAACTACACATTATCTGGTACAAAATAAAATTCATATTCATAAGTGAGACGAAACTGACTAAATACAATCGAGTTTAACAATAACACAGACATTAGGACGTTATACTGTTTTAACGTTTCTGTTTGTTGTTGTAAAGCCGTACTGCACAGTGCAGAAAGGGGTTGCTAAGTCTCATAGTGCGGGCTGCTGGTAGACCCATACTTGGGATAGTCCCGTGGCAACTTTGACATGCTATTGAGTCCAGGACCGTTTCCGTTCTGTACAGAGGATGTCCGGCCTCCTGAGCAGCCGGTGTCTTCCCGTGCAGCTGACGACATGCAGCTTGCCGCAGCTCGCGCTCTGCGACTGAAGGAAGCCCGGATGCGCACTATCTTATGGGACGTCTTCAAACACTTTCTCGTCGTGACTGTAGTCTTCTATCTCGCCTTCAGCAGCGCGGCTACTGTAGGGTACCACATGAACAAATCGCTAAACGCACGGTTTCCAACCTTCAAAAAGGTACTAACTTATATCATTTATGCAACTTATTGTCTTTATTGTAGTTTCCTGAGTCCATCATACACAATATCATCAATTATAAACTAATGGTACACAACACAGCACTAATCAAATTCTAAGGTTAGCTGAACAAACATGTCGATCATTATAAAAATGTCAAAGATCTCAGGCAGTACCATTCGATGTGACGACTTGAAAGAAATGAAGAAAGAAAGTGGTCTTTTTATGTAAGAGTGTTTCCTGCTGTGGATATATCTATTTAATCGACCACAGAACAATGTTGGCTTTGTTGTCTTTTGTCTCTAAAATCCTTAACTTGTATCCTATACGAAATTTATACTTTTGCACATATTAGATCAAAAGCATCAACAAGTTGTGGTCCTGGTCCAACACCGAGCTGCTGGGAGTTCTGTTTGCCCAGAACGGTAACAAACTCCTGGACGACCAGTCCTACAGAGTTGGAGCAGCTGCATTCAAGCAGTTCCGAAGCCGACCAGGTACCGTTTTGTAGTTTTCTATAGATAAACGAATAGTTTTTGGATTTCGTTTCATGAGATGTTAAAATTACGACTGTACTTTAGCGTGCTGAATAGAGCAAAACTCATAACATGATTATGTATATTAACCATGGCAACCTAAATGGTATAGAAATGACAGGAGTACGTCTACAGGAGACTACAAAAGGTTCATGTAGAAATTTCTCTTGTGTACAATCATATTTTCATATTTCATAAACATTACAATTCCTCAACATCTCAGGTGACTGCAGGACTAACATCACCCGATTCCCTACGTGCAAGTTGGACTACACAATGGAACAGCATGAAGAGAGAGATTTCGCCGTTGCATGGCGATCTCTACCGGACACGGATGTCAATGGAACAAGATGTCGACCAAATTGTGCGAATGACACGGCCTGGACGTTTACAAAAGGGAAGTCGCTTCCCTACTTTGGACAAGTGAGGACTTACACGGACGGGGCTTATATGTTTGAGATCGGAGACGATCCTGAACAAGCCGTCTTCACAATGGAGCATCTACAGGAGAACGGCTGGTTGGATGGCTTCACTGAAGCTGTTGTAGTGGAGATTAACGCCTACAATGCCAACGCCGACCTGTTCGCAGTGATCACGTTGATAGTTGAGTTTGTAGCCGGGCGCGGGACAACAGCTACACGAAACATCCACGTGTTCAAGCTGTCATCCTACGTAGGAACGTCTGGACATCTGATGATAGGCTTCCAGGTAAGTGCACACAAGATCATTGACGTCAATTTTCATATAGCCAGAATACGTCGACCAATCAGAAGTCCCAATTTCACCTCAGTGGTGATTAAATCCCATAAGGACTGCGATGGCCTTTGACCCAAATGAAACATGCGTTCTGTTCAAAAGACAGCTGGCGGTAATTCCTAGTGGAACATGAAAACGACCACGAGGGCATACAATATTGCACATGATGCATTTACAAAACATAAAAGAGTTACATGCTATTTGATAATAACGTTATTGACCCGCCTGTCTCTTATTGGTGTATATTGTATGATAAGTCCTTGTGGGGTACTAAAATCACCGAATAAAACCACTGAGCAAGCGAAGCGAATTTATCACGCCATATACAATGTACATCTCGGGTGGGTCATTTCCATTGATTACTCTAATATTGAGGATTAATAGAGTTTTTATAATGTGATATAAAGAAGATGTACCGTATGCCCTCTGTTCAGAAAGCATTGACGTAACCTGGTGTTCAGTAATGCTGAGGTCACATTTCCAAACCGGGGCCCGGCCGGGCTGTTTCGATTAACGAAAAATCAACAATTTTTATCAGGAATATACGCAAATAGTTCCATTATTAATTTTTTTCAACTTTTTTTGTGCTTTTTTGTCTTTCATACCAATATTTTCGTTCCATACGAGTGCCCGGCCGGGCCCCGGTATGGAAATGTGACCTCAACATAAAGTAGTTAGCACTTGAAGAAGGAAGATGCAACGTGTACAGCTTCTGAAGTCACATATATACGCGCGGTTTGTACTAGATTTATAGAAATAGTCAGTTGTTTTTTGATTGTACATCTTCCTCATCCGTAAATATTTTTCCATGTTGCTTTCTTTACAGATCACCTTTGTCGTTTTGTTTGCCTTGTCACTGTTCAGAGAGGGGAAGAAAATGTTCCAACAGAAGAGGATGTACTTTTGCCAGCCCTGGAACTGTCTGGAATTTTTCAGACTTGTGATCTGTGTTGTTGCCGTCGTTCTTTTTGCTGTAAAGGAGGGACTGCGAAGCAGTTATGTCAGTCAACTTAAGGCTCGTGAAGGTAAGGCCATACGCAAGGAGACATAGATGACTGCACGCGTTCAATGCATTGCAAAAGACTTTCCAAGACATTTAGAATAACTTCGCGTGATCCTTTCTTTGATTTCAATCTTTGCTAGACTATGCCGGTGACTTTTGTGTGCTAATTTTGAAATTGAAAATCACTTTTAATGGTTACTGAAATACATTGCACCATCAGATGTAAAGTTGACGTTCCAAATGTAAAACATATGTCTGTTCCTACTCACCAGGCGGGTTCCTAAGTTTCCGCATCATCGCTAACTTCACCGACGTCTTCGCTTCCATTTTGGCCCTTCTCGTCTTCGTCATGACGCTACAGTTCCTGCAGCTGCTCAGCTTCAACCGGTTCATCGGTGTTCTTTTCCACACTCTTCGCAAAGCATCCAAGAAGATCGCGGCTTTTCTTTTGATGTTTTCCGTTATATTTGTCGGTGAGTATTCACTTTCCTGTTCTATAGCTCAAATAGGAAGACTGCACTCTTTGTAACCGAGAGGTCGTGAGTTCAAACCCCAGCCGGGTCATACCAAAGACTTTAGAAATGGTACATATATGTATATCGGCTTAGCGCTCAGCTTCTATCAGAAATTGTATGGAACGGTCAAGCACATAACACTACCAAAGCCGGAGTGCTTGCACAACTGTGTGGCCCAAGGGCTTCAGAAATGGTGATGGGCACCACCCCTATGCCTCGCATACTTTTCTAGTCCGATTTTCTAATATGAGATATTCTTCTGAGTGAAAATGCTTATTTTCCTCGTTGAATCACTGTTATAACGGATCCGGAAAGTGTTGACATGTTTAAGATGTGATTAAATATTCGTAATAATTTAAACTTCATTGTAAATTCATACTCCAATCCCCATAATCACAAGAACATTGCAAACGAAATAAACTAGCATAAAATATTGCTACATATAACATAGTTATTGTTGGGTTTCTTTTCTATGTGCAGTGGACTATAAAATACCCAACGATTTGCTAGATATTTGAATTGGGAGGTGTTAATAGTAGCATTTTTATGCTCGACAGGTGTATAAAGCTAGGAAACATTTTGGTGACTCCTTTAAATAATGTATCTTTTTAGTGCTGTTTTGAAGGGCAATAGTGTATCACATCCTCCATAGCCTGATTTCTGACATTATCTATTCCACAGCTTTTAGCACACTGGGCGGTCTGCTATTTGGCGGCGAGGCTGAGAGCTACATCACTCTACTGACCTCCGCACGAACCTTGCTGGTGATGATGTTCGGGGACATGAGTTTCACAGACATGTCCGCACACCACGTCGTCATCGGCCGCATTTATTTTCTCAGGTCTGTTCTTCTGGTATTTCTTAGAGACATTGTGCATAACAGTACGAGCCGTTGAATAGCAAAGTTCTTTGATCACAACCAATTATTTTTCACGAGGCGACGTTTCGATGACCGTCTGTCATCTTCATCAAGGCCATTCTGAGTGGTTCTGTATCGGTATCTGTATAGCCGGTATAACTGCCCTTCGGCGTAACACACCAGCTTCTGTATCTGTATAGCCGGTATAACCGCCCTTCGGCGTAACACACCAGCTTCTGTATCTGTATAGCCGGTATAACTGCCCTTCGGCGTAACACACCAGCTTCTGTATCTGTATAGCTGGTATAACCGCCCTTCGGCGTAACACACCAACTTAACACAGACTGGTTTGCTGTCCACTGACACTAGATGTTACTTGGTGCACAGTGCACTACAGGTGTTACATGGTTTATCTAGCGTCAGTGCACAGCAAACCAGTCAGAATCGCCCTGATGAAGATGACAGACGGTCATCGAAACGTCGGCTAGTGAAAAATAAATGGTTGTGGTCAAAGAACTTTGCTTTTCATTTGTTTCCCAACCTGATGAAATTATTTACGGAAGTACGAGCCATTATTATTACATATTGAATATTATTATTACATAATGAATAATTTCATAAGGTTGGTGATTGAGCCGACATTTCTATCATCTTTATCAGTATTGTCACATACATATTGTTTTAAGAACGATAATAATTCATTTTATACATAACAATATATATGTGACTATACATTTTTGGCCGCATTAGCTCATACACTGGTCTTTGGCTAGTGTGATTGTCATCTTAATGAGATGTTTAGTATTGTCACATACATATTGTTTTAAGAACGATAATAATTAATTTTATACATAACAATGTATATGTGACTATACATTAGCTCATACACTGGTCTTTGGCTAGTGTGATTGTCATCTTAATGAGATGTTTAGTATTGTCACATACATATTGTTTTAAGAACGATAATAATTAATTTTATACATAACAATGTATATGTGACTATACATTAGCTCATACACTGGTCTTTGGCTAGTGAGATTTTTTATGTTCGGTATCTATTCAACGAAACATCAGATTCTGCATTTTTGAATCAGATCTTTCTTATCAATCATGATTGCAAATATATATTACTGGTAGTACTTTCCTATGGCTAAGATGAACAATACTCTCTTACAGTTTCGTGATCGCGGTGGTGATGGTTTTGTCCAACATGTTCCTGGGAATATTGGACGAACAGTTCTCCACATCCAAGAACAACCCGGACGGGCCTGGTGGGGACAGTGACATGGGCGAGTTTATGGTCAACAAAGTCCTGCAGTATTTCGGGATAGGAACACGAGCCGTGCGTCCGGAAGGTACCGAATCATATTAATGTCGTTTTCTTTCTAGTAGTACTAGTAGCCTCTTACGCGAAGAGCTTGTTTGTGTGTTTTTAGCATAAAATATGGGATCGTGTGGCGTAAACGGTCGCGTGTTCGGCCTAGGACCAAGAGGTCCCGCGTTCGAATTTTACCCATGTCACCGATCTTGTGCCCTTGGGAAAGGCACTTTACACGACTTTCCTCACTTCGCTCAGGGGAAAATGAGTACCTAGCTTCGGTTAGGGACGTCCCCCGGATAGGACGTTAAATGTAGGTCCCGTGTTCTGTTGAATATTGTTTACCTGGATGTCTAATCTTCATCAACATACCATATATCGGTTTTGTAGAGTAACACCGGACTGGTTTGATCCACTCACCATGCCCGTAGCCAGGGTGGTTCGGAAGGTCCACTTCTTGGTCCACTTTTTATGTAAAGGTCAAAGATTTGTCTTGAAAAGATTAACTGGAATAGTAGAAAAAACTGCTCCCTTTGTCATTGAATAAAAATTTATCTCTGATTTTTTTTCTTGGAAATCCTCTCAAAAACGCACGAAATGCCATTTTAGAAGCACGCACGAAATGCCATTTTAGAATTTTCCAGGGCCCCCGGACCCCCCTAAGAACCTCGCGCCTTCGGCGCCCAAGGCCCCCTCAAGCAGTGGGAAGAACCCCCCCCCCTTCAAAATCCTGGCTACGGGCATGCTCACAGGGCGATCCACTCCAATACTACTTTTTGTAGATAATTACATTGCTCTTCTCAAACGCAAGATCTCCGGCTTATACGCAACATCCGAAGCTAGGTACTCATCTACAACTGAGTCGATTCGGAAAATAGTGCTTCTTTTTCAAAATGACATTGTGGGGGGCTGTTTGAATTGTAAATAATATAACCTTATGGCAACAACCCTAACAACAAGACTACCGTGTACCTTTGGGCACCGGGGACGAAATTTGACACATATATTTGTCTGATAAAATCATTTCTGTACCTCCAGGACGTACTGAGTATGGCGAAACGGAGGATGTGACGGAAGACGTAGAGGATCTGGAGAATAAACTGGATCTGGTTCTGAAGAAGATCAACTCGCTGTAGTCACTTAGATGCAGAGAGTAAGAAATAGCAAGAAAGCTACCAGAGTTATCCACTAAAAATTCAAGTGTTCAAAACTTCCTTTTTCTAGAACTTTTGTAGAGTGGAACCTGCTACAGTTTAAGAATCATCAATAGCTTTAAGAACTCCTGAAGTTAGAAGTGCAAGATTGGGTGTATTAGATCGTGCGGTGTGATATAGCCAGTTGCCACCGCGCCACGTGCCTGCAAAGCTGGTGTGTAACGCCGAAGGGCGGTTTTACCAGCTTTAAAGATTCAGATATACTTCCGTGAAAAAGGAAATATAGTTTTGAGTGGTTGGCATACGGGCGGTGGTTTGTCGCTGTCCATAGAAAGTTGACAGCACGTGGGTGTAAGGGCGATTGATGACAGAATGAAATGAGGTCAAAGGTCACATCTAACTGGAAGCCGGGGGCTGGCATGGAGACTTCGCGAATCCAAGGATTGCACTAAAACAATAATTCCCGTAAACTGAAATTTACGTTTTCTTGTTTAGGCCACAGCAAGTAATTTTTATGGATGACATCAGCACGCGCATTAATTTTCGCCTGATTTTGAAAAAAAAAGAAATTTTGTTGCCTTCTGACAGTGGTAAACATGCCGAAAATGGGCATGTCTGTGCCATGGCCATGCCGAAAGGTGGATGGCAGATAACTATGGAAAGAGGAGACAAGACAAGGCTGTGATTTAGTGTTTGTTTCTTAATTCAATGCAGCGATATGTGATGCTGGCTGTGTATATGTGATATTCCTACTGAATAAAAAACATTTGTACAATGGTTGAGTCAAAATTTTAAAATGTAGGAGCCTTGTCTTTTTCGGCTCGCCTTGTTTTTTTTCGCCCGCTCGCATTAGATTTTGAGTGTGTGGAGGATGTCATCCATAAAATTTACTTGCTGTGGCCTTATGTCATGTTTGAAACGTGGATTTATACACTAGGATCAGATTCAAGCTCTGTTGAATAGTTCAGATGAATATATACTTGACTTAATATAAGACTATCCTAAAAGTATCGTAGAATAATGTAGAAAATATAATAATGTCCTAGGCTGTGATAATGAGATTTAAAGACGGTTGTTCTATAGAATTTTTCATGTGATAATTTACAACTGTAAGAAACTGCATTTATGAAAGTACATATTGTGTTTTGTGCAAGGAACTGACAATAGTGGTATGTATCACGTTATAGTTATTATATAACTATAACATAAATTAATAGATTATATATATATATGTATATATGTCAATTATATAGTAACATAATTGACATAAATGTGTAGGTGGCTCGTGTTAGCAAACATAGATATGCATTATGTATATTTGCCTACGTAATAAAACGTATGAAACAAGCATCATTTTTTGTCATCAATAAATTAATTTGCTTGGATTTTAAGGATAAAAAGAGCTGAATAAAGACCTTACAATTCACTACAAGTCTACCCGACTTCCTCTATCAGAATATGGGAGAGTGCCAAGACAATTGAAACAAGAGTTCCACGATCTCATACCTTCGCCAAATGATGTTAACCTTTGCGGTTGACGAATTATACTACTAAAGTATTTTAATCATTGATTTTGTAAATAAGAGCCTCATTTGCATGGATTATATCAGTTGATTATATTCTCCACCCAATGACAGCCTAATCTTAACAAAAAGGCTATTATAGCACTTCCTCATAAATTATGCAAATGAGGTCATGATTTGAATAAATTATATTTATTGATGTTCACCTTCACTTAACTTCCAAATGTGGCAAGTATGAAATTCCCAGCAGTTACAACTATGCAATTATAAAAAAATTGCCACTAATTATGCGAATTAGGCCCTCATTTACATAACCTATATCCTCAGATGTTTTTTCTCGTTCTCAAGTAGATGTTACATGTGTTTCATAGTTTTATTATGAAACAAAGCAAATTTATAGAATGTCCTCATTAATTATGTAAATCAGCTCATGTTTTGCATAATTGTCACCTGATTATGTCAAGCATCACTTCAACTACCTACATACCAGAAAACACGACAGTCCGTCAACCGGTTCTTGAGTTATCCTCCTTCGAAAAGTTTTCAACAAATGCTCCTGCAGTTCCAGAACAAGTTGCTAGGGGACCCCAAACTCATGTCACTTTTTCCGTATCCCAAGAGCTACCTACCATCCAAATTTCGTCACCCTAGCATGTCCAGATTACGAGATATCAAAACCGAAAGTTCTGCTGCAGTACCTAGGAAAGCCGCCGGGATGGCCCAAAATCTAATCATTTTGAGGTCTCACCAAGACCTACCCACCTACCAAGTTTCATAACAATGCATGTAAAGCTTCTTGAGTTACGCTGTTCACAAACAAACAAACAAACAGACGGACAAACGCTACTGAAAACATAACCTTCTTGGCGAAGGTAATTATCTATTAGGAGGATTAGAAATGTTGCAAAATGGTAAGTAATGTGATAACTTTACTACATCTGTGGCCGCCACGCACTGGTGTTTCGCAACACTTTTATTTCCGCGTTTTGTAATTACAGAGTGGTAGACACCTATGAATGTTGGTGGGTACAGTTACTGTGGCTCTTTGCAGCCATCATCTATTGACGAGAAGTGCAACACAGCTCACTTTGGCTGCTGTTTATTGTTTAGTTTATTTATTATTTGCACGTATATAAAAAAGATTACGTATTACATTATAAAATAATAACAATCAGAGAATATGCGGGGTAGGCCAGAAACCTAGGTGGTTTTTTTAAAGGGCCTGCTCCAAACAAAGGTAACTATGATACATGACAAAACATATTTGAATTAAACATCAAAATTAAACAATGAAATAATTGATTAATTAAACAAAATCAAGACACAGAAATAATAACTGAAGTGTGTAAACTAGTTTTTACATCTACGAAAGGAAATTAAACAAAGTCTTATACATGTAATTCAGGTCGCTGTTACAGAAATAAACTGATTAGATAATTAACATAAAAATTAACGATTAAAACAAAAGAAAGCTAAAGAACAAGGAAAACAAACAAATCAGACTACAATGTTTCTTTGGCACATACCACAACGAACCGCTACATCAAATTAGTAACATTGATTAATACAATTTCTCTTGTGTTAGATAATTGTAACCAGTTCATCAAGTCTATATATTTGTTATACATATGCGTCATGGATTAATATATCCAGGACGTCAGCTGATCCATTGGAAAAAAGATTTATGTGCAAATACTGACAGGCAATGCATTAAAGGCTCTATTTACAATAAGGTATAGCTTGACGCCTGAAAGAGACGACTACATGAAAATCTTAAAATCCCAATTACTACATTGTACATGCGGTTTATATGGATGTATATATGTAAGAGTAAATAAGGCATCTATAAGTATTTTGGAAATACTTTGCTGAAAAAAAATAGTAGCTCATTGTTCACAGCTTATTATTCACAGGTTCATATTCTTGTTAAAAGGATAGGATTCTTCCAATACTAGTGACTGTACACTTCTCTATAGCCCTGAGACCATACATTCATTGTGGTTTGTGTTCAATTACCATTACATATATTAACTCCTTCGCATAAGAGAATAACGAGTATGGCCCATTTTCAGATGCAAAGCGAGCACTCTATATACCCATTATGTTCAGACGGGAGGCAAGCGCCCACTTTCATCTCGGATAGCACCTGAACGGCTTGTGCTAGAACCGTCAAGTTTGGTGACTTTTCCTAAAGTATCCGGCAACAATTTCATATCAATTAGATAAGTTCCTGATTTTTCATGTTGCCATGGCAACGGATTTCTGACAGGCAGTTTTTTTTAAATCACTAATCTTGGTTCTAACATTAAAATTTTCTAGTTTCTATTTCATTTAAACTTTCTTTCATTTAAACTTTCTTTCTAACATTAATTTTTTAATTTCTTTTTAACATTAATAAAATATATAATAATATGTAATTTCTATCATTAAATAATCATAATCAATGCTAATTTTATGACGTCATAATCAAAATCCAAGATGGTGCACCATATCATTAGGTCTTGTGTAACCATGTTTATTTTTCACTAATTTTTCGTATTTTTTTTTACATGAAACTTTCATATGAACACCTTTAGTCCATTTGCGTTGCGTTTTGAGGCTGTATCTTGAAAAAATGTAATTTTCAAAAGTCAAGATTTCCGATCCAACATGGCCGACGGCTTAATTATGCATGACGTCATTTTACGACGTCATTTTGACGTCAGTGTTGTTGCCAGGGGCAACATAAGTCCAAGAAGACATGAATATTCTATCATAGAAACTTTTTGTTACAGTTTGGTTGTATTCATCAGAGTTGTACGAAAAAACGATTTTACCCAAATTTGCATAAGTTATTTTGCATAAGTGCTAAGCATGAAACAATCAGTATTACAATTTTTGAAATACAAATACAAATATGCGTACATTAAAACATGTAGTACTCTAACATATAAAACACCATGTTGCCTGGTTTAAAATGTAATGATGTCCCTAAGAAGAACTAGGAAAATTAAGCTCTTTGCTCTCTGGCTGGTGGTGATGATTAGAACTTCTCTTACAGAGAATCTTGATTATTCTGTCCAAAGGACTAAGAAATCCTATAATACATTTAAATATCAAATGCATATATAGGCAAAGTTGCCTTATCAGATGCGATTCTACAATTTTTCCTTTGAATACTGTAATTGTCAAAGGACTTCTATGCATTATCGTGGTTTTATGTTCAAACACATTTGTTTTCCCAGTGGACAGTTTTAGTCAATATGGTAGTCATTCTTTTAACGGGAGAGACCTTGTCACAGTGGCCGTACAACTGGGGCAGGGTCTTTGCTCTATATGATCATATTCATTGTTCATTACAACATCCACACTGTGTGTTTATGTGTGTGTGTGTGTGTGTGTGTGTGTGTGTGTGTGTGTGTGTGTGTGTGTGTGTGTGTGTGTGTGTGTGTGTGTGTGCTAAACGTTTGCCGTGTCCTGTCTGATCATTTTCACATTTTGTACATAGGATTTGGCTGTGTGGCCGGATTAGAGGCGTACATTTCATTCCTAGAATTCAATAATTCATTATGATCAGTGATGGCCTGAGTCTGAACCTGTCCTATTTTATCATTTTCTGATTTGTAGACATGATTAAGCTCAGAGGCAGCCGGCTTTGTGGTGTATATTTCATTTCTTGTATCTAACGACTGACCTTGATCATTGGTGGCCTGAGATTGACCCTGTCCTGTCTGATCGTGTTGGTCTTCCATTTTTTCATACTGGGGATATTGATCACTGGTCACTACAGTAGCTGTTGTGTTTGTTTTAATCCCATTGATGGCCTTAGACTGGCATTTTCTTCTCTGACTATGTTGGTTCATATCTTCATACTGACGATCAAGATCACTGGTCACTACACTGCCTGCGATGTCTGTTTTAGATCCAATGATGGCCAGAGACTGCTCTTGTATTTTCTTACCATGCTGGCCATTATTTTCATACTGGTGATCATAAACACTGGTATTATGTTGGTCATTATTTTCATATTGGTGATCTTGATCATCGGGATTATGCTGGTCATTATTTTCATAATGGTGATCTTGATCATCGGGATTTTGTTGGCCATTATTTTCATACTGGTGATCATAATCACCGGTCACTACTGTGGCTGTGGTGTTTGTGTTGGATTCAGAGATGGAAGACTGGCTCTGCCGGTTCTTTTCTGAAGTGTCGATACCTTCGTAGAAAGTATTATCCCGTAAGGCATCTAGCTGTGTCTTAGCGTGAAGACTTTTAACATTCAAACAATCTTTCAAATTTTTTCCTGCCCTTCTCTTGTAACAGATTGCAAGAATGATGGTGCCAATCAGGACAACGCCAGCTATTGAACCACCGACAGAGGCAATAACAACTAGTGTGGGGACGCCCGGATCAGATTCACGGGAAGGGTTGTTTTTTGGGTTTCTTGGGTCGACAGACATGGTGGTGAATGTGGTACCTAAAGGGCATGGTGTTGAGCCAGACTTTTGATTAAAGTACCAGTAATAGTGTGTGGTGCAGGGAGTGATGGAATTGTTCGAGTTGTCACTATTTTCCAGTTGGCCATGGTCCTTACAAACCAGGTTTTTCGGGTTGATTTCTTTAAGCTTCTGCCCAGAGAACATATCAGGCTGGGTACATACAATTTGGTCTTCAAAGGAATGAGAGCCATTCATTTTTAGCCTGAACGGAGCCATCATACAATCGCACTGCCAGGGGTTTTCATCAATATCAACAGTAGGAATATTTGCCAAGATGTCATAAGCTGACTGGGAAAGGACAGATAGCTGGTTGGATGTAAGTGACAACCATTTGAGATTTCGTAAACTTGAAAATGTAGCGGGCGTAATCTCAGTTATTTGATTGGCTCTTAAGGACAAGTCTATTAGGTTTGGTAAATTAAGGAAAGCACCAGGATGAATGTCAGTTATCTGGTTGAAGGATATGGACAGCCTTTGGAGGTTTTGGAGACTTGAGAATGCACTATCGTTGATGTACTTTATCTGGTTGGAGATTAGGTCCAAACGTATGAGGTTACGTAGACTTGCGAATGTACCAGACTGAATGTCAGTTATCTGGTTGGAGCCAAGGCACAACTTTGTGAGCTTTGGTAGATTCGAAAATGTACCAAACTGAATGTCAGTTATCTTGTTTTTTTGTAGCTGTAACTCTGACAGTTTTGGTAGTTTCGAGAATGTACCCCTCTGAATTTTAGTCATCTGGTTGGAGCCAAGGTACAACTTTGTGAGCTTTGGTAGATTCGAAAATGTACCAGGCGTAATGTTGGTTATCTTATTGTTGCCTAGGGACAATGATTTGAGGTTTGGTAGACATGCGAATGTACCAGCCTGAATGTAAGTTATCTGGTTAAAGGATAGAATCAAATATTTAAGACTTTGTAGATTTGAGAATATACCAGGATGAATGCCAGTTATACTGTTATGATCTAGGAATATTATATCCAGATTTGGTATATTTGAGAATGAGGCAACCTGGATGTCAATTATCTGGTTGTACAACATGTGCAGTTCTCTCAGGTTTCTATATCTCATGAGCTCTGACTGACTTAAAGATGTAATCAGATTTTCATTTAACATTAAGTAACGAATAGTTGTTGGCAGGTCTTGAGGGATGCTGGTGAGGCCCATTCTGATGCATTTGCAGCGATGTGGTCCGCACTTACTCCTGCAGGCAGCTTCCGGCATGTTGGGCTCCTTCAGGATGATGAGAAGGAAAATTAGCACGTGTCTCAGCTTTCCTCCCATGGTGTTTCGTGACGTCAAAGGCTGAAATGAGAAATAAAGTTCAAATATACACTACAGTTAAGTTAATGTATGGCAGCAACAATACATGTTACTCATTGAACAGACTCGTAAGTAATGCTTACCATGGAATTACACAGCAAAGCAACACCCTCATGCTGTGTGGGTCAGAAAATCTACTCAAGTTCCTTCCTATTCCTATCCTACTCGCTCAAAATATTGCAAACTTGACCATAGTGTTCAAGAAAAAAGAGGATTTCAAAGATATTAACTATGGACTAGAAATTGTGGGCAAAGGTCACCATTTCCCGCAGGCGCAGAAGGTCCAGTCTGAGACCCCTTTGATTGAGTACAGCCAAACCAACTGAAAACAGCCTTTTTCTTGGTATGTGTGGATAAATGCTAACATTTTCCAGCTGGAGAGTTATTTCTATTTCTATTAACTTGAAAAAACTGGCTGTTAGTGTTGTTTTGGCTGCTTGGTAGAGTTCTAAAACTAATCCCATCTTCTTGTCTTTTTGGTGGTCTTCAAGGGGATCAGAGGTCATGCTGCCAGTGTTTGCATTTGCCGTGCTATGTATCGCTGGTCAAAAAGTGAAATTTTTGGACTAAATGGACAATTTGGAAGTTGGACTACCCTGTCAATATGTGTTTGAACACTCAAGTAGGTGATTGCTGACAGCTCAGTTCTTAGATGTTTTCTACATATTCCAATAGGGGCTGGGCTGTCCCCTTGTGTCCCTCTACTGCGCAACGCCATATGCATAGTGACGTCTGCCCTACAGTTCTGCCGAAGTGGAGTCTAAATTAGTCTGGCATCTGGATATCCGATTCTGTGAACCCTGACTTTTGAATATTTACAACAAGCAAGTTGTTTACTCTCCGTTACTGCCTTTTGCTGGCTGAGTTGTCAATAGCTGTATTATCTTTTGGAAATATCCTCGAGTTGCTTTTAGAATTTTAAATGGTGAATAAGTGTCACTTACTAAATGATGATAATTGTTAATGTAAAATCATTTTATAGACTGACACTTTTGTAGATAGCCTATAATATGGCTGCCAGGAGATATGTATAGCTTTGCTGACAACAACTATTAAAACAGTCTACTAGAGTCAATTCCGCGTCATCGTGTAGGTTTTTCTCCATGTTTGTAATACTTTTGAATTATCTAGAAGAAAAGGATACCCCAGTAACAAAAGTTCTACATTTTTCAAAAATTTGAAAGTGAAAATTTGAATATACTTGAATTCATTTAGATATTTCTGAAACATTTTAAAAGTGGCTGTACAAAGATCTCTGTATTTAGAATGAATTTGAAATACACATGTGTTTCTTTCCTTGTTCGAAATATTAGAAATATTTCAAACAAATAACCAAATGGTAGATGTGGGTTATTTCCCCCATAAAAGTAGGTGCTAATCCGACTCTTCTGTCTTCTGTATATTTTTAGATTTCACTGCTGGACACTGGTGGCTCTTTCGTTGTAATACGCCCAGGCAGGCTACTCTGTACTTCACAGGGATGTGTGAATTACTACCTTCCCATCCCAATGACCTATTTACAAAATAATTGTAAATAATGGTAAAAATGGTAGAGTGCTGTTAGAAATATTTAGAAAATATTGGAAATGTCATTTTCCACATAAGGAATATTTCAAACGTTTTACAAGACCAGGGAATTATTTAGAATGTTGAAAAGATATTCAAAATATTTCCAAATTATGAAATTTCTTAGACAAACAATTACAAAGAATTCAAAACATTTCTAAATAACTAAAAAGGCTGACATTTGCTTTGGAGCAGATGTAGCATGACTTCGCCACGTTTCACGACATGGCAGGGAAAGAAGGAGAAATACAAGGGAAAACAATGCTTTATATTGATATAAATATAGTATGAAGTCTGTGACATATAACTAAGAATGCAACAGTTGGAAAGCTATCCCCTACATTATTGGTTAGGATTTATTTGCATAATGCTGTTGATTTTCAAGATTTAAAAACAGCGTTTATGTCTCGCAATCCAATGCTCGAGAAGGAAAGTTTTACATATCTACCCCAAAACACTTGAATGCAGTTCAATACTGTCAATATGGCATGGCTATGTGCAGCTGTTAATACAGTTAACCCAATTAGATCTCAATAGCCAATCAGCAAGACGAATAGAGGAAAGCAGCTTATTTAATTTAGTTTAAAGATTTTTAAATTTGGTTTAGAAATAGCAAGGTATATAGAAATATAGGCGATATAACCTTTTTTCTACCGATTTACAACCCAAATTTGAAAAGATTTTTTTCTGGCTAATGCTTGTAAAAAAAATGTAGTAACTATTCCTATAGTAAGTATGTGGAAGCATACACAGGTGTTCATTTAGCAGTAAAGTAATTAAGGGAACAGCCAATCAGCGACCAGGTCTCCAAACAGGGTGCACCTGCTGCCCATATTTGGGCATTTGCCCTATGCCCAAATATGGTCACACTCCAATCTTGGCAACACACACTGCTATAGTATATTACCTATAACACAGCCAAGAAGTCCAAATAAAACCATTCTAAAGCCTATATCAAGAAAATGAAAAAAACGCCTGGGGGTATTTGTCCACTGTACCTTCATGTTATTTAGCCCCAAAATGAAGGAGTTGAATCAATTCAAAGAAATGGCAGGAGAAGAAGGAGGAGAAGAAACGTGAGAAAAAACGTGAGAAAAAACAATATGAAACATAATGACAATAACAACCCACACGGTGACGTGAAATTGACTATACTACAACATGTCAGCACTGCAGAGTATATTTCATGTAGCATTGCTTGTGTGCACATGCAAGCCGACTTTCCATAAAACTGAAGTGAACAACTCATTTAGATTAAGAAATGCTTATGGCGTCAATAAAAACAATATGCCATTTTTTGTACTTTTTTTTCTTTTAATCCCATATCGTGCTGATATGAGTTGATTGGATGTTTATTAATTTTTTTTGCCACAGGCCACCCACACATTCGATTTTTCGATAGTAAAAATTCAGTCTCGTGCAATATGTGCTTGCTTGCTTGCTTGCTTGCTTGCTTGCTTGCTTTTTTTGCTTGCTTGATTGATTGATTGATTGATTGATTGATTGATTGATTGATTGATTGATTGATTGATTGATTGATTGATTGATTGATTGATTGATTGATTGATTGATCGATCGATTGATAACTAACTCTTAGCTTATGTCAATAACAAATAGTTTTGATACGATATATGCCAATAATGTTATAGAATACATTTCCAGATGCAATTTCACCTTTATTTGATTTCTTTTTTGATATTGTTCAACCCCACAGTTGTTCAGGGATCAACCCATTGATGTAGTGGAATCAACCATTCGTCTTCGTGGGGAGGTCCTGAATTTTGGCAGCATCGCCAATGAATGGTCAAGAAGGTAACTTAAAGATAAGCTGGTGACCATACTCATACGGGTCAGCTTAGGTGTTCTTTGATTGTCCAGAGCTTCTTTGGCACCCGATCGTAGCAGCCGGATGTTTGAAATATGTCCTGTTTCCCCTGTCCGGTCACATACTGTGACAAAGCTGAAATAAATAAATAGAAATATTCATTTGGCATTTCTATGTTTTGACGGAGGTGGGAGGGGCTTTAGAATTGGCCTATTCTATGCAGCTTTGATGGGAGAGATATTGTTTCTGTAAGATGTAATAAGTGGCACTAAAAAAATTTAAAAGAAATCCTGTTTTTTTCCTAAAGACGACATAAAGCTGAAATGAATGATCCAATGACCAATCCAGATGTTACTATCGAAGAGAACAGAAGCATACAGTGACTGTCATAGTCTTTTATTAGTTTCGTAATTGTTGTTCATCAGATCTTGTAAGTTGTCAGATGTTCTTATTCAATTGATATATTGCTTTAGCTATATCGGCCAACGTATTGGTGCAGTCCTACATTGCACTGCTAGGGGTCGCTTTTACTCTGTGGTTTTACTAGGTGGTTACAGTAAGGCCATGGTGATTTGATTATATGGATGACATCCTCTGTGAACCCCAAAACTGATGCGAGCGTGCGAATAAAAAAACTTTGGCTAAAAAAAGTTGCTTGCTTTATGAAATCTACATGGTTTTGAAGGTTGAACAAATGACACAGCGTATGGTTTGGCCAATAATCTAGTCTTCAAATTAATTTCTTTACATTTTGTATTTTTCCCTTGATTTTGGCATTCTACGACACTATATCGTTTTCCAATTCTTTTTTCAATTTACGGTATGTATTTGCTCATTTTGCAGCTGTGTTGTACGATTTACAGTAGGGTTGAAAACCTTTTGGGGGGAATCGGCGAAAAATTCATGCGCGCGCGGATGTCATTCATATAATCAAATCAACATGGCCTAACTAAACTAAAGGCGGTTATACCGGCTATACAGATACAGATACAGAACTAACAAAGCCTAATACCGTACCGTATGTACACTTCCGGGCGGGTTATTTACCCTTGATTGACGTTCTGATTTATGTTGTGTACATTGCAGTAGCTGTTTGCCGTATGGCTAATTACCTTCGCCAGAGGTTCGTGTTTTTGGTAGCGTTTGTATCTTGTATGTGACTGTGTACTCACCCTTCGGTACTGATTAGGCCATGTTGATTTAATTATAGGCATGACATCCGCGCTCGCATGAATATTCGGCCATTTCCAAAAAAAAAAAAAGTTTTCAACCATACTGTAAATCGTACAAAACAATCGCAAAATGAGCAAATACATACCGTAAGTTACAAAAAAAAAACATTGGAAAATGATACCAATGTCGTAGAATGCCAAAATCAAACGAACAAGACGAATTTGAAGAGCAGATCATTCGCCATACCATACTCTGTGTCATTTGTTCAACCTTCATGACCACGTAGATTTCATAATGAAAGCAATTTTTTGCCAAACTTTTTTTATTCGCTCGCTCGCATCAGTTTTGGGGTTCCCTGAGTATGTCATTAATATAATCAAATCAACATGGCCTTACAAAGGACATTGAGAACAAAATCAACTCATTTGCTACCTCGTGTTACCGAACTATGTTGAACATCAAAAGGTTAGCAAACAACGGCACTTATGACGCACTAAAACATTTGGTAGAGCACGTGGGACTTGGTGTGACTGACCGAACGTTCTTCTCCGTACACGTGCTCCGTTTATGCCCGAGGAGGAAACTGTAAAACTGTATTTTAGGCCACACCAATTTAATTTCTTGGTTAATGGACTCGCCCGCTTCATTTTTTTCTGATTTGCAAATAAAAATAAAAACTCAGAATCAACTGCAAAATGCTCATATTTTGCCCTGAACAGTTGAAAACAGTCCTTTTCATCCTAGTTGTTATTACAGTTATTCCATCTTTCAATGCTATGGTATCATTAAAAGTTAAAAATTCATTCTTTCAATTTTGAACCAGCCTGGTGTGTTGACTTCATGGCTCCTATCGTACCATTTTGGGCCATAATAGGATGCCTTAAGGCCTGTTTTTATTTTTTTTCGCCCGCCCGCTCCATTATTTTTCTATGAAAATCCGTTAACCAAGAAATTAAATTGGTGTGGCCTTATGGCAGACGTAAAAACCAGCGTAGCACTTATTTACGGGTGTTCAGTCTTAGGCCATGTTGATTTGATTATATGGATGACATCCTCTGGGAACCCCCCAAACTGATTCGAGCGTGCGGATAAAAAAAAGTTTGTCAAAAAAAAGTTGCTTTCATTATGAAATCTACGTGGACATGAAGGTTGACCAAATGACACAGAGTATCGTGTAATAATCTACTCTCCAAATTCATTTCTTTACATTTTCGTCTTCTGCGTTTGATTTTGGCATTCCCAGTGTTCCACGACATTGGTATCGGTTTCCAATATTTTTTTGCAACTTACAGTGCTCATTTTGCAACTGTTTTCGTACGATTTACAGTGTGGTTGAAAACTTCTTTTTGTTTTTTTCGCTGGAAACGTCCGAAAATTCATGCGCGCGTTGATGTCATCCATGCAATAAAATCAACATGGCCTTATCGTGGTTCAGGTAGGTTCTCTTCGGGGCTGCAGGAGCTCTTCACCGCCCGACTCAACTAGACTCCCCGGCAGGTTTCACACGACGCCGTCGATGGGAGTTCAATTTAATAGCCCTTGTGGTTAGGGCTAATAATCAGTCGGCTGACGGAAAACGCTTGCTTGTTTTGACCGGGAGGCTTGTTGCACGATTGTATCTTTTAAGCACTCTCCAAGCAGAGGTTGATGGTGGAAGATCGTTTGCTTTTTATATATGGCCCTTTTTTTGTCGCTGGTTACAGACTGGCTAATTTGATACTGTCTTTACCCCCACCAAAATATCTGCTTGGAGATTATCTTTTATGGGTCATGTGGGTGGTAACCAAAAATAGAGACGCCTCAAGTGCTGATCTCCAAGCAGATCTTTCGGGGGGGGGGGGAGACAGTAGCCACTTCCCCACCGAAGGACTGGCCAATTTGATACAGTAACTATCTTCCCCCCACCGAAAGATCTGCTTGGAGATTACTCAAGTACCTTGTTCCACTATTTCAACGCTTCAAATGAGGACGAAATTTGCTAAGAAATGGCAATAAATGACAATAATGTCAGACAGATTCCGTCATCAGAACATTTTTTGCTTATTTTACCGACGTGAAATTGCATTGGGTTGCCTTTGAAACACTGTGTTTTAAGCCTGTTTGATATTTTACAACTGATCCTGAGTGTAATTTGGCGAAGGGATGCGGTCGTTCCAAGTCTTATTTGTCAAAGCAAGGACATTATTGGTCAAAGCCCCTCTAGATGTACAAGTGGGCCTTTGCCGTAATAATGCTGCGTAATGGCTAATGCAAAGTGGGACTGCTCTTACGCACAGTATAATGTATTGTAACGTAGAAGACAAGTGTCATTTTATTGCGGACTGTGCGATATATAAGAACGAGAAAAATACCCTCTTCAATCGTACATAAGAGAGCAAAAATAAATAAATAAATTATAAGATTATATTCCTCATGCAACTAGATATTAAATCCATGTATTATAAACTCCGTCTGTTCTTACACTTAGAAGTGTCTTCAAAAGCGAAAAGCCTGTACATAATGTATGCTACAGATGTAGTAAGATACCTACCCTGGAAGCCAAACTCGTTTCGGGCCACTAGCCATTTCCCTTCGGCAGCCAAGAGTCCTTCGCCCGCCGGTCTAAATTACCGCTACGGGGGAGACTAGCCCGGACTCAACTCCCCCGTAGCGGTGATTTTTAGATAGGCAGGCGAAGGGCTCTTGACTGCCGAAGGGAAACGGTTAACGGCCCGATACTAGTGGCATCCAGGGTATAAGATACCAGACTTGTATCACTGTTTGTACCAAGCCTAAGGAAGTTTAAACCTCCTTGTTTAAACCAGTGACATTGTACAGACGTATAATGGGTCTATAATGTTCTAATGCATGTTTAAACTTGGTCTGTTCACCATGGTCTGTATTTAGCCCATAAAGGCATAAATGTACAATATAAAGGTCCCAGAGTCATCCATTCATCCATTCTAAATTCGGTGCACTATTTATAAATTCGGCCGCTGTAGTTCTACGAAATTACCGGTAGTATTGATTTATTGTAACTGACCCCCCTCCCAGTCCTACACACACAAACACTTCAGTGTCCACCCCACGGACCCGACAGGACTGCCTTTTCCGCTTTCCGGACTGGACCGGTCTTTCCACAAACCAAACAAATCGTAAATCAAAAGAAGATGCTATCTTCCTCCTGGCTCTTCCTTTTCTGTAGCAAGCGAAAAGAAAACGCCAGCAGTCAATATAACGAAGGAAGGTATCCTGGCTTGATGAGACCTGAGCTATAAAAAACGTACGTGTTGTTATTCATTCATCCGGCGGGTACGTCAGAGCTGAAGCTCCGCCCACTCACATGCGCGTCCACGGGACTCACGTTGATCAGCTGTAATGTACACGAGGCCTCGAGGGTTTCCCCTAGTGGTCTTTGTTTATGTAAAGTGGCACATGTAGCGGCGGGCTTCACGGCGGCAACACCAGAGACTAATCTTTTCCCCATTCGATCACCAAAAGGAAATTTTAGCCGTGGGAGACTCAATATCCCAACGTTTCAATCACTATTTGAACTGTACTTGGCGTTTGTAGATTTGACGTGGGCACTTCCGGTCAGAGGCGCTATATATTACAGTTGCCAGGATTTGTGTTGTCTTGTTCGAAGGCGGCCCGTGTCTTTGTTTCTAAACCAAACGGTTCCCGTGGTCACGTTGCGCGGCATCTGCTCAATGTGAAAGAATTACTACCGAAAATGACAGCCACGAGTGAGCGGACAGTCTGACTATGCCGGTCGCTGACGGTATAGGCTTGTCCCCACACAGGTAGGTTAATCTTTTTTTCTGGAAATATTACATTTAACGTTACTGATCACAGGTTCTCGATCTTTCCTAAATTTATGAGTCAGAAGAGGTAACGTTAGATGACTCATACTGGGAACGGCCAGTCCTCCATAATTAGAACCTTATTTCCTGATTTTTAAAATCATTTTAGTTTTTACGGCTAAAAAAAACAGCAAATGGTACGTTATGAGAATGATTTAGGAAAAGGTATTATGCCTAACATCATCATCATCAGTCTTGTCGTCCTGACGGACGATCTGCTCCAATCAAGTACGATGGGTGCGGCGGTGTGCCGCCTAACGGTCAACGATATAAGTTATCTAACGTTAATGTTATAATTTGATAGTTTCAGGCACTTGCGACTTATTAATAAAAAAGAAATCAGTACAATTGATTGTGTGTGTGTGTGTGTGCGAATACTGTACAATGTGTGTCTGTGTGTGTGTGTGTGTGTGTGTGTGAGTACGTGAGTGAGTGAGTGAGTGAGTGAGTGAGTGAGTGTGTGTTTGTGAGTGTGCTCACAGTGACTGTGTGAGTGTGAGTGTGCAAGGACATTATATAGTGTGTGTGAGTACTAGTATGCATGTGTGTGTGTGAGTGTGTGTGTGTGTGTGTGTTTGTGTGTGTGTGACTATGTGAGTGAGTAAGTGAGTGTGCAAGGACAATATTATATGTATAATATAGTGTGTGCGAGTTTGGGTGTGTATGTGTGTCTGTGTGTGAGCATGTCTGTGCATGTGCATGTGTGGTTGTGTACAGGAATGGTAGCCTCCACCAGATCTATCATATTTTATCATGCCAAGGGTGTTTGGATAGGGTGCTTGGATCCTAGAATGTCCAGACTATTAATATTCAGCAAATATAGGGTCAATGACCGGGGGAGTGATGGGTCCGCCATTAGGGTAACATTTCCCCCCCCCCCCAGGGCAAATGTAGCCTGGTTACCAGAGCTATTTTTACTGCTGAGTCTCTATAAATTACTATAATGTCCTATTTACAGAGAAGCAAGAAGAGACTTGGCAGCTAGACTAAGCCTCACTCACTGGGGTTAATAACTGTACTGGTTAGTTGACGTCAGCTCAGCTCCCACAATTGCTTACATTGTAGGTAGGTATAGCGACTGTGGGAACGGACGTAAACTAACCAAAATCATATCCAGTTGCTTGAGTACGTAAACTGCTTGGCGTATCTTATTACCTGGATGTCTAAGTTACCTTTATTGACGTAACCAGGATGGTATTCAGGCTAGGGCAAATGAAACGTGAATAAAATTGCTTGCTTCTGTTTTTGAACCCACGTTTTAGTGCAGTGGTGGAGACTGCATGTGTATGATTTGAATACATGATTTATTTCAATCGAGGATTATTATGTTGATTTTGGGATGACTTATATAATGATAAAGAAAACATTTTTGGGAGGTGAGAATAAATGAGGTACGAGAAAGTAGTTCCCATGCACATTTATCCCATCACAGTAATTTTGATTATGCATACAACAAGCTGAATATTATTATTACCGGAATCTTCACTGAGAAGGTAACTTTAAGGTACATTATAATATAGACCGAGAGAGGGAAATTTTTGAAATGGATATAAGTTGAGGTGTGGTGCATGTATCTTCATATCATCATATTTGATAGGTTGGGGTTAGGATAACAAAGGTCAAGGTCAATTATGGGTAACCTAGTGGCTCTGTACGGTACTGTAGGGGTGTTACATGGTTGTAATATCTCGTGTTGTAGACATGCTGTAGTTTGATTTTTGAGTGGGACGTATGTGTTTGTGCAATGGGCCACCTGTGCCCTGATGTGGGCCTAGACACTGGATTGCATTTTATTATATGTATGTTTACCGAAGGAAAACATATTGTTTTTGCTCAGTTTCTTCTTCCTCTTCTCCAAACAGTGACCTCTGACCTGAACCAATGTTGTGACTGTTGCCATGGTAACTAGTGTTTTGATTGTGTTTTCATTATATTGTGTTGGTAGGTTGGTGTGGGAACATGAAGGTCATGTTCGATTATGGGCATTCTAGCAGCTTTCTGCAGCATACTGCAGCAGCACCAGGTTTGATATGTTGCTATCCTGGTTTGTCCTTGGATCTAGGTCAAGGCAGTTGTAGTAGTACCGTAGTAGCAGTAGGCATCCTTCCGTCTTGTTGGAGCAGTCAATATATTGGCCGTGTGCAGGTCAAGGTACATGTACTATATTGAGGTACTAAAAGTAGGTCACGCCAATGTCCATGACCACACGAACTGGTGTGTGTGTGTGTGTGTGCGGGCGCGCGCATGCATGCGTGTTGTGTATGTGTGTGTGTGTGTGTGTGTATGTGTGTGTGTGTGTATGTGGATTGTTCATTGCTAGCCTGGTCTTACGATTCCAACCGTAACATACATGTATCTCAGTCAGATTTGTATGCTAACACAAATGAGTCAGGTGAAAGTCATGTGAGTGAATGTTGGGGTAATATTACTAATAGGGAAACCCTGGGCCCATCCATGAGCCCAGTACCCCCCTCTGGCTCCTCAGCTGTTTTGCATGCATTCAGCTGCACCCCCTAGCAGAACTTGAACAAATTGCAGTAGAAGGCAGTCTGTGCATACAGTTGGTACATTATACACAAAGGTCAACGTCCCCGATAAGGCCACACCCTAAATCTAATTTTAATTTGTGAGAACCCGAGAAAAAAACAAGAAGGGCCGAAAAAAAGCAAGTCTGCTAAGAGCAAATGTACAAGGCACAACAAATTGAAAGACAGAACACAAAAAACAACAAGTCTTTCATTCGTCATAAAAACAGCAATAAATCAGTGGAACAGCAGTTGTCGTCCTGTCCTGTATCTTTCCTTTTGTTACATCTTCCCTTATCCCACTGTCATGACTCTTTGGTCATAGTATGTAACTGTTTAAATACAAGAAGTGGAATTTCTTGTTGACTGCTAAATATTGCAGCAGTGAATTAGAGCTGACTAAATCGCACTCCTATGGGAGGGTGCTCATTTGTGTAATTAAATTAATGAGAAAATGCTATCATATACCTTTGCAGGTGAAACATCAACAGATACCAATTATGAAAATAATGACCTAATTTGAATAATTAATGTGAAAATTTTTTTATTTATTAATGGTGAATGATAGGAATTTTATACCTTGTGACATGTGTAAGTTACTTAAAGGTTAACATCACTATGCATATATTATGTTAATGTAAGGTCATTTGCATAATTGACTAGCACAACAATTTTACATAACTACATACTGTATTTCATTGAGGTATGAGATCTCCGAATTCTTGTTATGATATGCTTTCAAAGAATGTTATTATATTAATAATAAGATGTAGCAATGTTGATAATTATGTAGCATAGAAAAAGAGATCTGAAACGTTGTTGTTTGTCATCCTCAACAGAGGTGCAGCTAGATAACTGCAATTTTTTTTGCGGCTTCCCTATTGCTTGTGTGATGTAAATCATCACACTCAGGGGGTACTAGTAATTATAATCTCCATTAGCAAATCCTAGGGTGGCAAAACGACAGTATCAAATTGGCCAGGCAGTATTCATTAGCCAGAGAGGGTCCAATATGGCTCAAGATCTGCTTGGAGATTAACTCAGTAGATCACCTAATTATAATCTCCAAGCATATCCTAACAGTTTGATAGGTAACAAAATTGCGTGTTGTTGTCCAGTGCGACTTCGCTTTCTGCAGATTCTTGGGTGGCATATTGGATCCTCTCAGGATCCTTTTTTTATCATGAAAGTTCATCTGTGTTGGTAGTAATCATACTATCAAAATTAGTAAAACGTTAAACTTTATTCCAACACACTATTTACAGGGATCAAATTTTCAGCGACCACTGTCGCCTTCATCAGGATAATTAATGACCAATCACTTCACAAGGTGATCTCGCGAGAGTTACGGTTTACAAACACGTGACCTTATTCACACGAGACTGTCGTCCACCATCTCTATTAAGTGAAGGCTGAAGTGCTCTGATATATATAGCCTCCTTAATGCCTCTTAGAAAGTAGTCCTGTTCAGTGTCCAGTATTCTATTCCAGGATCCTTTTTTATTTGCCACCCTAGGATCTGCTTGGAGATTAGGGTTCACCTGAGGCCCCATCTGGGTGATTTGTAGTGATCATCACCAACAAATTTCAGTATTTCGCCAAAAAGATATGCCATATTTGTTGTTTGGCGCTCTGTTCAGATATTTTTACGTAGAGTGTAATCAGCCATTTTAATTCTAAGTAGATCGCAGACAGACCGCTATAATTCAACGCAGAGCGTATTTGGCGGATTTTGCGTGGAGCGTAATTCGTGTTTTAATTCTATGTAATGCGTTGTCAGTGTTCGAAATACCCGGTAGCGCACCAGCGCCGCGCTACATGATTTCCTTGTGCGCAAGTTGCTCCCGGACGCACTACCTGAAAATATGTACCGCTGAACTCTGAGGTGCAAGCGTTCTCAGGCAGCGCCAGGTGGCGCTGGCGTGAGCCGAGTCAGGGCTAGATAAATGTTTCGAACACTGAAGTTGTAGCCACTTGGAATTTATCGTAAAGTGTAATCGCTACAGTGACTGTAGTGTAATACGTAGCCGGCTCTCAAAATTTAGCATTTAGAGCGTTAACGTTAACCCCACCCCCTAGCCTCTACCAGGCACCTCGGATCGCTGGAAAAATAGTAGAAATTTGCCGAAATAAAGGAATAGTATACCAGAGAAGATCCAGGGCCATAGAAGCTCCAATTTTCCGTGGGTCGCAAATTCAGCTTCTATGGCCCTGGATCTTCTCTGGTATACTATTCCTTTATTTCGGCCAATTTCTACTATTTTTCCAGCGATCCGCGGTGCCTGGTAGAGGCTACCCACCCCCATGCAGGACCCCAATATTGTGTAATTTATAAGTTTTAGGGTAACGTCCGCAAACTCGATCAGATCAGATTAGGACTTTTCAAGGAAAGTCCACAACCTGCGTCTTGCATACAGAAATGCTCGGGATAACAACAGCCGTAGCGGCATGGGTCGACGAACTTGACGAGTTGGATGTGTTCCTCGGGGACTTCTAGACGGTGTGTCTAAAGACGTCCTGACAGTGGAAAATATCGTGGTCGCAAAAATCTGTGTATAAAGTGGGCCTAAGACATTGTCAAATTGGCCAGGCAGCCAGACATGTACCATTTGCCACACATTTAGATTTACACCTTCTTCCTTCTAAACCCTGCTGGTTGATCGCGGTTTGATATTTTATATTAAACAGTTGCGTGTTAAGAATCTGGTCAAGTGTGTCTTTCAGCAGATCTCGGGATGGCAAATGGATATTGCCTGGCCAATTTGATAATGATACTGTCTTTGCAACCACCCAAAAGAGCTTGGAAATTTACGTCACACGCAAAATTTGCACACACACACACACACACACACACAATTTTTCACTGTGTCACACACCACATACACACACCAACTCACGCATGCATGCAGACACACAAGCACACATGCATTCACACACACAATTTTTCACACACATGCACACACACTAACAATAATATACACACACAAACACAAACACACACACAAGCCTGGATTGACTCTGATGATAGTAAGTCGGCTAATGTAATGTAAAGTCTTGGGAAGATATGGCCCCCTGGCAGCTATCCTTGGTACTGCTCCAGAACGTCCTTTTTTTTGTATAATCTTTTACCAGGTATCAAGACATGCATGGTATCTTGATATTTTTGTGGTAATGTTAAATCAACACCTTTTGAAAACAAATTCCCATCATTCTATAGTAGTGTACTGAGCACATGAACTAGAGCACGTTGACCCGGCATATTGAGAATATTGGCCCGAGCCAGTGTCATGCACCTGCCACGTGGATAGCTTCCCGTAGTTCTGTAGTAAACAGAACGATTAACTCCTACCCTCAGGCACTTTTCGGCAGTTCAATAGTTTGAGCTTGAACAGTTAATAAAAGAAAATACCCAAAAAAATAACTACAGCCAAGTAGAAATCCAAGACTTGCGCTGAATTTGACTTTCAACTTTATTGACCATTTTAGATTAAATGGGTAGCATTATAACATCTACTAACCTAGTCCAATAACGTACTATTGATGCACACCTTGAGTGAGACTTGAATAAAAGCTGTGAAGTTTCCGGTGAGCGTTCATCGTTCTCAGTTCTTACTCGTCGCAAAGTTTGGTAGTAGTTTTACATTTTGTCGGCAGTAATATATGAATATTGGCTTATTGTGACACCAAGTTTCCACAGGTGCTCTGTTAAGGTGAAGGACCCGAAGGTCGATCCGTAAACTTCATTTACATGTGTGCCAGACAGGAACTCCACATCATGCATCTCCTCAGGCTATATGTGAAGGGTGGAGGGCTCCCAAAAAGTCTCCGTTTCTGGTAAACAAAATAATTATGCACCTGTCAAGGACAAAACGGGGGTGTCTTCCAAACCCACCCCAAGGTCTACAACCCCTTTTTCCCCGGAGGTTTACATCGCTTCCCACGTGACCGAGAAAATGTTACCTAATGCGGGTATCAGTATGGAAAGTTCTTTTTATGGCTCAATTGGTCTGGAGTAATTTGTCTGGGAAGAGCTTGGGTGCTTAAGCAGTGTTCTAAGTTTGCCCAGTTGTAGGGACAAGTTAAAGAGTCGCTAAAGGCTGCATCATGGCTTATGTACTGATGGCTCCGTACTATGTCCTTGGACACCCACCGATGGTGTGCTACCCCGTACCCGTGCGTGTTCCTACGGTCTGTCTGGCTAAGGTAAATGACTCACCACTTCTTGAGAGAAAAGTTTCCTTTCGACTCGTGATGATTTCAAAGTCCTTCTCACTCAAATTTGGTTACATGTAGCATAATGCGTTAATTGTTGAGGGTTTGAATTTTGATCTTTTACCGATCAATGGTACTATATATATGAATATGTTGGTTTTTATTCAAACTGCACACTAACACAGTCTTGCAGCCAAAGTCATGCATTATGACTTATGTGTGAATCAGCTGTGCTGTAATACAAATTATGGGCTAATGCTAACAGTAAACAGACGATATCGGTAACTAAGACAGTTAGTTACGTGTATTTGTTCTATAATTGGTTGTTTCTAACATTTATTGATTAGTCAATAAGTCAACTTATTCTCGTTAGTCTGTGTAGCACAAACTCTGCTCTCTGGGGTTTAGAAATTAGGGCAGAATGAAGTCAGGTGAGCCGCTATAACTTGGTATAAGCACAATCTAATTTTCCTTATCTAAAATTAGAAAGAACAGAAAAGTTCAAAACCTAAAAAAAGGTTAGATTTTGATCCAGTAATCTAGCTCAATCATAACTAGAGATAAAAATACTACGGGGTAGCCAATAGCAGAATCTGAAGATTTATAATCGCAGGAGTTTTTGGCAAAGTTTCAGATAAGTCAGGTCATTCCAGTGCAAAGGCACCATGCCAGGTAGCAGGCTTCTGTGTAGTTGTACATCAGATCCCATCCCAGAAAGTTACATTACAACGCTTCAGCTGTACGATAGATTTTTTTCCCATCTAGTTTCTCTGTGCTTGTATGATCTCTGGTTGCTTGCGCTTGCGCAACTGTGGGGTCGTACGCGTGTGGCACAACAGCAGCGTGCGTGACTCGGAATCAAGAGGTCCCGGGTTCGAGTCCTCGGACATGCCACCGATCTTGTGCCCTTGGGAAAGGCACTTTACACGACTTTCCCCACTAGACTCAAGTAAAAATGAGTATTGTCTGTCCAGTATTTGTTTCTATGTGCCGAACACAACACCAGCAACAGCTGCCTCTGTTCCGCATGTATTGCACTGTTGCAATTTTAATAAATCAAAATCAAATCAAAATCTGCTACCGGCTCCCCCTGGTATGCCACGCTTCAGGAGTTGGCTGACCTTCCTCAAATTATCTATCGTACTGATTGATAAATCAGAATAAGTTGAGGGAGCTGAGATTTAAGACAAGAGCAAGGGAGCACGTTGGCAGAACATACTGCACCTGCGCTAAACCTGTAATGTATTGTGCATAGCACTTCGGCAGAACGTCTTATATACATGTAAGGTCATATTCGCACATATAACGTTAACACTCCATCTGTAGTTTCCAAATGTTATGTCGGACAAAATAACATCTGCAACAGGCAAAATTTTGATGCAACGTTAACCAAAAATCCAACGAAAATCATGAAAAATGCCTGGGGTTTCGTGCAGGCGCAGTACGTTTTGCCGACAAAGGGCATGTGGCTTCTGTGGTCAAATTGGATCACTCAGTGTGGCTTAGCCTGGTTAGAAGGCTGACCATACTCACAAATTAGTCACACAAAACTCCTAAAAATGGTGACTCAGGGTCTCTGGAGGAAGACAATGTTTGACTAACTCCATGACTTTGTGTCCAAAGACCTTAACTAGTAGTATTTATAGTTATACATTTTGAGTTCTTGGCAGTTCATTGAAAAAAAATTTTGAGTAGTACACAATGTACAAGAATGCCATATACAATGTATTTCAAGTCAATCAACTGAACAACATCGAAGGTTTGAACAACCACCTTTTCCCTGTCCTGATTTTTTTCACTTGGACGCAAGCATTAACAAGAGACTTGTTTAAGAAGACCGAGCACTTTTCCTTGGTCCCCTGGGTGGCCTTCTTGAACAGGTTTGACTGTATAGCCTCAGGCTCAAGTGTACCATTATAAATATAAGTGGCTCTCCCACTCTGCCACCTGGTGGAAGCCAATGATAATGAATACTGATATAATCTCCAGATATTATCTATGTGCACGTGTTTTTCATGGAACTGGTCCCTGTGATTGAGGGCCTGCATGGGGGTGTACGGACAACGCTCTACGCTAAATTCTGATGGTCAGCTACGCATTACGCTAAATTCAGGAAGACTCTCTACGCTCTATGCTAAATCCGAAAGCTTCCCAGCGCATTATGCGGTACTCAAGCACCCAGGGACTGAACGTTTGCGTCAAAAGATGGTGATTTATGACTGGAGGTGACAGAACTTGAGTCAATGTACTAATAACCGCCAGTCGTTGAATTCTTCATACGTACAGGGAAAGATAATTGAATTACAGAATATTAAACAGTAATTAGGACCATCTGGTAGTGTTAACCTTCTTCTTGCTACCTCAACCCGCAACCAATATGAATTTCTTGCCGAAAGCCTACTTCAGCTGTATCATGAGAGATACATGTAATGGAACATTCTGGGCATGGCCCAAGCATCAAGTAGAGAAAGAAAAGTGCAGGCCGGCCTCTATTCTCAGTCAAATAATGGAGCTCCCTGGACCAAGTGGTAGCAGAGGCGGCGGAAGGAAATCTTGAATGGGGAGGGGGGGCATATTTTTATGGAACAATTTAAAGAATCAACATTCCGAAGCTACAATGTACATTTGTATAAGGCTTGCAAGGCAAGATGGTTAATTAAGGGGGCGAAGTCTGCCATGTCTAATTGCCTAACATTGTACTTTTCAGGAATGCCCGTGTACTTTTATGAGAAAGAGGCTACTGGAGACCCGAATCATGGAGGAAGACATGGACACTAGCATGGCTGCAGTACCGGCCGAGCTGACAGAGGGCGCTGCCGGTGACGGCTACTTTGACGGTGAAGAGAAGAAGGATCTCCCGGAGAACGCCAACAAGGACGTGGGGGAGAACAAGAAGGAGGAGGAGGGTAAGCGCGGGCTGGAGGAGAGGAGCAGCTCGAGTGACGGGGGTTCCAGCGACGGGTCGGGGTGGGAGGACGCGGGGCAGACGTCTGACCCGGACAAGGACAAGTTCTCCGGGAACGGCAGCAGCGACAGCGGGATCAGCGGGCGCGGCTCCCCGGGCGGCGGGAACTCCAGCGGGGACGACACGGATAACACGGTCGGCAGCGCCGTCACGGACGTCACCTTCGTCGGTAAGTTCAGTCTCTCCGTACAATCACTAAATATATTTTAAGACACTGTTTTCCTAGTAGATATTGTACAATTCAGGTCTTTTGCTGCAAGTGTTTTTTTTTTACCAATGAACCATTTAATACAACTACTTAGAAGTTAAGATGTACTAGTCATGTATTTTCTCAAAAAATTGGAAAAATATTGTTGCTTTCAACATTCCAGTAAAAAGAAGTTACATTCTATCCAGTTATTAAGCACACGTGTGATAGTCCAACGTGTAAGTAAAATTTGTCATATATTAGTCATGAAGTACCACCTTACATGTAAGTCTGTCACACATAGCTCTATATGGCCTGTTTGGCTGCGTCAGCCAAAAGTTTAATCATGTGTAAAATATTTAGGTGCGGACTTGGTTTGGGGATGGTTAAGCTGGTGTTTGGGACTAGGTGGGAATGTGATTGGGGGTAAAAAAAATCTGACTCAAATTCCATTTGTATAGAAAGCTAGGCCTAAATCTGGTCTAAGTGCTCCTGAACATCATCCAACCGACCTTGAAGTTCGTCGTCTGGTGTTCGGGGGGTAGTTCTGAATGTCTGAGAGGGGCTTTACACTCTGCATTGTTTCTGTCCTTCCTCCCACAGAGGAAGACTCGCGATGTTCCCTTCCCTCCTGTCCTGACCAAGACACTACTGATGACATGGAGAAGGGGTCAGCCAGTCAGCAAGACCAGGTCAGACATTTTCTCCTTCTTCGAATTCAATTTATGTTTTTTTGGATGTCTGTTTGTTTTTGTGTTTGTATGTGTATTTGTATATTATGCAGGTTAGTGCAGGTAAAATTGGGGCTGTGCAGGTATTTCTGATGTCTACCTGCACCTAACCTGCACTGGTCCATGTATTGGGTATATGCAGGTTAGTGCAGGTAAAATTGGAGCTGTGCAGGTATTTCTGATGTCTACCTGCACCTAACCTGCACTGGTCCATGTACTGGGTATATGCAGGTTAGTGCAGATAAAATTGGAGCCGTGCAGGTATTTCTGATGTCTACCTGCACCTAACCTGCACTGGTCCATGTACTGGGTATATGCACCTTAGTGCAGATAAAATTGGAGCCGTGCAGGTATTTCTGATGTCTACCTGCACCTAACCTGCACTGGTCCATGTGCTGGGTATATGCAGGTTAGTGAAGGTAAACCTGGAGCTGTGCAGGTATTTCTGTTATCTACAGGCACCTGAGAGACGTATCACTGTTCATGACACATGTTTTCCGTCAAAGATGTAATCACAGCTCATATGACGTTTGTCGTGTTTTCCAGAACAACATGACACCAGGCGAGTCGGTGGACTGCATTCTTCACCACTACACCAGTATGGTTACGACCTCCATGACCTTGGCCAAGTCCTCCATTCCTACCCAGAGCTACATCACACCCTGTTTCCAGCCGTACGGCATGGATGTGCAGGGCACGAGCACCCACTGCACCGCCTCCTACCAGGGGGCAACCCGCGCCCCCATCCAGTCCACGGGGATGCCCGCAAGGCCGGACGAGAAACTTCCCGCCACGAAAGATCCCGTCGCCATGACGACCAGTTTGAAGGACGTCCAGCAGGCCAAGATGAAACGTTACCAGCAGGTTTTGGAACAGTTGAGGAAGTCGGGCTTGTTTGAAGTGACGTTGCGGACAGCTAAGCTCATGCGGCAAAGTAGACTGATCCAAGCCCAGATCAACGCTCTGCGCGCTGACGCACAGAGACTCTCGCAGTCGGTCGTACAGGACTACACTTACTCCAAGGCAGCAGTCAGCACCGAAAGATGATGGTTTCTAACTCTAGGAGTAGAAACCCAACATCCATGCACATGTAGCTTACCCAACCTACAGCTCCTGTTATGTTGATGAAGGTTAGACATCCAGGTAATGAGACTGATACATGTACCAAAGGTAACAGTTACTCTTAAGCAACTGGATACATTTTTAAATGGTCAGGTGTTGGATTAGTACAAATGCAGCATCTACTCTACCTTTGTCCATACCTGTCACTGTTGCTTGAGTTACTGTTATCTTAAAACCCTTGTCCTGCTGAGCGCAACAATTGTCGTTCTGCACATACAGTACCATCTATATAGCACCCTGTATAGGTACGATTTGGGGTATTTCTCATGCAACGCATCACACCACAGCGAAACGCAATGAATGCGGAAGTAACTATGCCACTGCAGGGCAAAAAAATTTGGGGGTCTATGATCTAATTAAGACATGAAATTATTGAAAAATATTGTGCCAGGAATGTCAGCAGGACAAGGGTTAATTTGGTACAGTTCATGTTGTATCATCAGGTTCTTGCTCTTTTTTTTTTGCTCACTGCCAAAGAAATTGTGCTTGGTGCTTTGCTGACTGTTGACAACATTTAATTATCAATATAATTCCATTTTCCATGTTGAAAACAATTTGAGCGTATTCTTTTCTGCATTGTTGCTTAAAGTTATTTATAAATAACTTAATGCGTAAAGTGTAGTGTCGAACATGTCTATGTATGACTGTACAGTTAAACAAAAATTTATATGTTGTTGCCCAAATTTCGGTTGTAATATTGCTATCAGTTTTTTTTACTGTATTTTAGAGATGTATACATTGTGAGAGATATAGAGTCATCCTTTAATAGTGGAGTAGTCCTTTATTTTATAATCGGACCAGGACCTGAAATTTCATCCAGAAACGTATTTGAGAATAGAAACTTAGAAGTGATTTGCGGTCGATGAAAAAGCCTTTTTCTGTTCAAATTTATCAAGACTTAGGCCACAGCAAGTAGATTTTACGGATGACATGATTGCGCACATTAATTTTCACCTGAGGCCACACCAATTTAATTTGTTGGTTCTCGGATTTTTTCAGGAAAAATATGAAGCGACAGGGCGAAAAAAAATAAAAATAAAAACAGATCTAGGCATCCTAATATAGCCCCAAATGCTACGATAGGAGGTATGAAGTCAACACAAAAGGCTGGTTCAAAATTTAAACGATGAATTTTGAACTTCTAATGATACCACTGCATTGAAAGATGGAATAACTGTAACGACTAGGAAGAAAAGGACTGTTTTCAACTGTTCAGGCAAAATATGAGCATTTTTCATTTGATTCAGGACCAGAATCAATTTTTTTTTTTGCAAATCAGAAAAAAACGAAGAGGCGAATCCGAGAACCAACAAATTAAATTGGTGTGGCCTGATTTTGGAAAAAAAGAAAAATTTTGACTCGTCGAAAATGGGAAAAATGTTGTAAAGTTTATTGGTTCAGGGATCCGCCAAACTTGACGCACAATGGCTCTCGTTTGATATTGTTAACAGTCATTGTGTCAAGTTGTGATGTCATGTTTTGTTTTCTTGTTCAAGGCCACACCAATTTAATTTCTTGGTTAACGGATTTGCCCGCTTCATTTTTTTCTGATTTGCAAATAAAAATAAAAATTCAGAATCAACTGCAAAATGCTCATATTTTGCCCTGAACAGTTGAAAACAGTCCTTTTCATCTTAGTTCTTACAGTTATTCCATCTTTCAATGCAATGGTATCGTTAAAAGTTCCAAAAATTCATTGCTTAAATTTTGAACCAGCCTGGTGTGTTGACTTCATGGCTCCTATCGTACCATTTTGGGCCATAATAGGATGCCTAGGCCTGTTTTTATTTTTTATTTTTTCGCCCGCCCGCTCCATTATTTTTCTAGAAAAATCCGTTAACCAAGAAATTAGATTGGTGTGGCCTTAACAAGGTTTATGACCTCAAAATTTGAAAATATCTACTAGGAATCACTATCCCATTTAATCTGCAGTCTGTGGAGGATGTCATCCATGAAATTAACTTGCCGTGGCCTTAGTGAAATTCACTCTCAAGACCAATCCGTACAGCATCTGGAACCTCGTTGCCTTTTTACGTTTTAAGTTGTCATCGTACAGATTTATGTGGTGAGATGTGCCTTATTTTAGGACACCTTATTGAGTTTTCTTCTTTCAAGGGATCAGGAAACCTGGCAGTGTTGCTTTGCCTGTACCGGTAGATTAAGTTCTGTGGATCCGGAGGGTGAGGGTTCGAATCTCATCAGGCAGGGCTCTGTCATGTAGTGAGGGATTTTTTCGTTATGGTGAGTCAATATAAAAACGTGTGGCCCCACGAATGGGGGAGCATTCTCACTCCACCATTGAAAAAGTAGAACAGTTAAAACAGTACACTTGGAAAGAACCAAGAAGTGACCAAAAGGTATTTTCCTTCCTTGAGGTCATTTGAAATAAAGCAGTACACGAAAAATTTATTTTTGGTACTGAGATGCCAGACGGTGGACTGAATTTATAGTACCCTGCCAGGCTTAAATTGGCACCGTCTGTCAATTCACTCCTTCCATGACTCTCAGACAGACTTTTCATTCCAGTGAAATTTCCCTGTCAGGCCACACCAATTTAATTTGTTGGTTCTCGGATTCGCCTCTTCGTTTTTTTCTGATTTGCCAAAAAAAAAAATTTGATTCTGGTCCTGAATCAACTGAAAAATGCTCATGTTTTGCCCCCCAACAGTTGAGGAAAGTCCTTTTCTTCCCAGTTGTTACAGTTTTCCCATCTATCATTGCAGTGGTTTGATTAAAAGTTCAAAATTCAATGTTTAAATTTTAACCCAGCCTTTTGTGTGGACTTAATGGCTCATTTTGTAGCATTTAAGCCTATAATAGGATGCCTAGACCTGTTTTTATTTTTTTTCGCCCTGTCGCTTCATATTTTTTCTGAAAAAATCCGAGAACCAACAAATTAAATTGGTGTGGCCTCAGGCTCAATTACTTTTGACTGTATTTGCCCAGAAGTCTCAAACTTTGGCTGCCGGTGTTAGAATTAAATAGCTACCCACATAAGTTACACCAAGTTTTGTGACTTGTGTGGGTAGCTATTTGACCTGGCTGGCTACTCAAAAAAAGACCACCGGTCTGCTTGCAAGTTGTGAAAGCTTTAGAATGTGATATTCGAATGTTTGTAGTTAATGTGACGGGTGATTTTAGCTGGTTACTGGGCATAACTTTACCCTGGAGAATTCGAACCTGAAGGCAGCTAACGATGATGGCCAAAACTTAACTTTGAATTAAAGGATTATACAGACAGTTATAACTACAGTCAAACTTGCCCAAGCGGCCACCCCTATAAGTCAGCCGTCTGGCTGCTTTTTCTTGGTCCTGATTTTTTCTCCCCACAGGCCACACCAATTTAATTTCTTGGTTAACGGATTCGCCCGCTTCATTTTTTTCTGATTTGCAAATAAAAATAAAAATTTAGAATCAACTGCAAACTGTTCATATTTTGCCGTGAACAGTTGAAAACAGTCGTTTTCATCCCAGTTGTTACAGTTATTCCATCTTTCAATGCAATGGTATCATTAAAAGTTCAAAATTCATTGTTTAAATTTTGAACCAGCCTGGTGTGTTGACTTCATGGCTCCTATCGTACCATTTTGGGCCATAATAGGATGCCTAGGCCTGTTTTTATTTTATTTTATTTTTTTCGCCTGCCCGCTCCATTATTTTTCTTTTAAAAATCCGTTAACCAAGAAATTGAATTGGTGTGGCCACAGATGTAAGTGTAAGGCACTTGCCGAAGCAGACCATATATCCAACTTAACCCAACCACCACTGTTATAACACCACCCAATCTCTGCCTATGATAATAATTTTCAAGTGGTAAGTGGAAAAATTTTTGATAAAAAACAGTGAGAAATCTGGACTGAATCGGCCAGTTTGCCATTGATTTTGACAGCATGATAGCACAATACACTGTATGTAAAATGGCACTGGCTGGGTCACTTTGGATCAATGGGGCAGTCTTATTGCAATATGGGTGGAAATTCTGCTGCAATTTTGTAGCCATTCTTTTTTTTACAAGTTAGACCACTTGTCTATGCCTCGGTCTTAGGCAAGTTTGACTGTATCGTGCTGGTATGGACTAAGCAACAACTGTGTAGCTACTGGGGATTGTGTCTTTTTAAGAGAGGCTGTTTAACAACTTTCCACAGCAACTGCACCTGTTAGGAGAGAATGACCCTTGTATAGTTTAGTTTCCTTTTTCTCTGATACTGTCATAATGATTGGAGTAGTAATAGGTACATGTATGCTACCTGTAATGCACAGAATTAATGTTTTTGTCATTGCTGGTGCTGGTGTGATGTCTATGTCTTAAACTGCTGCAATTTCAGAGCAATAGAACAATATCCTAAAATATGTATTATATACTTTCAAATGTTTTATGCAGTTATGTTTGTACAGAAAGATTTGATGCATAAATAGTGTGTTCCAAAATCTGCAGCTTTTCATAATACTGGTAGCTTTCATATAACATAAGTAGGGTTGCTGGTAATACATTTGTATGTATGTCACATGGCCAATTTTAACCCCACATTTGTATTAGGAATCATTCTAGAAAGTCATTGTAACCTCCCTGTACATGTACATCTATTGGTTCCCAGATACTTGCAGATTAGGCCACACCGCCTTAAGTTTATGGATGACATCCATGCGCGTTGATTTTCGTCTGTTCTAAAAAAAAAAAGAAAATCACGTCCTCCGAGGCTCTGTCCGGCTCTAGGCCTGTTGCTAACTCTAGCCCATGGTAGTTAGCGACAATACAAAGCCGGGCACCCAGATACCGAAGCTCCACAACTCAAGAAATCAGTGCGTTCAGTGCTGATTCATAAATTCTGCAAAAAGCCAGCATGTGCCGGCTTGTCGTATACGTCGCTAAGTACTGCCGCAAATTCACTTTGCATTCCTGTGGTTTAGTAGTTGACTGTAGCATTTTTATTTTTGGCCGGATTTTTTTTATTTGCCCATGCACACTAGTTCGGGGGTCTTCTGAGGATGTCATCCATAAAATTAAGACAGTGTGGCCTTACATGTAGCTGATACAAAAACAGGCATTCTGCGAAAGCCCTCGGGCTCATACTGTCCTTGTACTGTGGAGAAATTTTTCACTCGGAAAAGATCCATGTTACGTCAAGAAAAATTAACAAGGAAGACAAGGGCTTCCTTCAACTGTTGGTACTAAACTAAGCATTTGGGATCTATATATATATATAATACACGTACGTGCAATGCTACATGAAATTTGAACAAAATGTATCAGGTGATGTGAAATAGTTGATTAATTTGTTTGGGCATTCTGTCTTCTGTTAGAATGGATCTCCATGAGTATTAAATGTTGACAACAAAAGAAATTGTTGTTTTTGCTTGCAGCAGCAAGAGTTAAGAGACCTCATATACCTCCACGAGATATTTAGAGCTTCGAAATTCCACTACAATGTAGTCTAATTTATGTTGGTACTTGTATAATAAAAACAATGTCCACTTGCATCTGCCATGATCATTCTTTGAAAGAGTACAGTTGTCTGGAATCATAAATGAACTTTACTGTACAATTTTGTACTGATAAAAAGGTCATCCTTTTATTGAGTAGGTACAACATGTCAAAGTCGCTATGAACTTCAAGATAGTGTACTGTTAGACTAAATATAATGTACTAAGAAATAAAAACAATTAAGAACAAAAAAAAATAATGCTTCTTAGATGAACTGGCACTAATAATTAAGTCTAGGTACTTTGTTAGCCAGCCATGTTTATTTATAAAATACAGAAAAAAATATTACGTAAATACACATGAAATTCTCAATTGTGACAAATTCAATGATTAGGCCACACCAATTTAATTTGTTGGTTCTCGAATTCGCCTCTTCATTTTTTTCAGATTTGCAAAAAAAAAAAATTTGATTCTGGTCCTGAATCAACTGAAAAATGCTCATATTTTGCACCCAACAGTTGGGGAAAGTCCTTTTCTTCCTAGTTGTTACAGTTTACCCATCTATCATTGCAGTGGTTTGATTAAAAGTTCAAAATTCAATGTTTTAATTTTAACCCGGCCTTTTATGTTGACTTCATGGCTCATTTCGTAGCATTTAAGCCTATAAATTAGTATAATAGGATGCCTAGACCTGTTTTTATTTTTATTTTTTTTCGCCCTGTCGCTTCATATTTTTTCTGAATAAATCCGAGAACCAACAAATTTAATTGGTGTGGCCTTAAGTGACGTTTGGCTCCTCAAATATTTAAATCTTGTGTACTTTTTACCATATCATGCCAAGCAAGCAGCTATACAATATTGTACTGTTCAGGGGGGAAAAGTTTTTAACTAGTTTTACACAAAAATGAAAAAAAAAAATCTATGTAAATCAGATACATAGTGTTTATAGTAGAACCCAGTGTTCTAGCCAGCCTGATTTTTTTTCTGTCATCTCAATTTTGTTTGAAATAACTTTGTCATCATGCCAATGGAGTCAGAATGCATGCTCTCCCTGGAAAAATTTTGACCCTCTGAAATGCTATTTCCTGCATTTTAATCAATAACATAATTATACACGCTGATTTTTTTGTCCTTCACAGATGACAGATTAGGCAAAATATTGGTCGGTCAGGCCACACCAATTTAATTTCTTGGTTAACGGATTCGCCCGCTTCATTTTTTTCTAATTTGCAAATAAAAATAAAAATTCAGAATCAACTGCAAAATGCTCATATTTTGCCCTGAACATCCTAGTTGTTACAGTTATTCTATCTTTCAATGCAGTGGTATCATTAAAAGTTCAAACTTCATTGTTTAAATTTTGAACCAGCCTGGTGTGTTGACTTCATGGCTCCTATCGTACCATTTTGGGCCATAATAGGATGCCTAGGCCTGTTTTATTTTATTTCGCCCGCCCGCTCCATTATTTTTCTAGAAAAATCCGTTAACCAAGAAATTAAATTGGTGTGGCCTTAGACAGATTTGACTGTACATACTTCTGCCTTTCTTCGCTGATGATGCCAGGTGTCCTGAAGCCCTTGGGAGTGGGTCCTGCGGTGGCTGCAGAGCTGTGTCCGTACAGACGGCTCATCGGGGTCTGGAAGGCCTGTCTGGCAGACACGTCCCTACAAACATCATCGTCCTCGTCTGCATTGTAGTCTATGGAGATCAGCCCCTGTACACAACATGGGAGAGTGGACGGCAACAGATAAGATCGTATCTAAGATCAATTGTATAAGAAAGCACGTCGGCAGAACGCATCGTACCTTTTTTTTCTTTTTCAATGGTTTATTTGCGTTAAAAACACAACAACACTATCCCTAAAATGGCAGCCAGAGGCTGAATTGACATGGGGACATTACATAAACAGCAAACAGTATAAAATGTCATATTAAACAATTTAAAATAGTAATGAACCATTGAATTAACTGTATATAAAATATTGTCAGTAAACGTTTACAAGTGCAAATAACATTTCAGATAACAATACCGACGGACAAGGGTAACACTAAAATAAGTCTTAGCTCCAAAAAATGTGACAGTGTTACATGTTAAGCAGGCGGATCATAAAGGGAAGGGCACTATTCTGATAACGATCAGTTCTGCTGCGAGGAGTGTTCAGTTTATAAGCTGATCTGGTGTGGCGACCACTTATTGCACT